AGAGATGGCTGATCCCCGTCTTTACAAATATATCGGCCAATTGGGAAGGCGGGGCAACTGCAGAGATCCGCGATATGAGGAAGATGCGCACTCTATGCCTTAGGAAAATGGCCAGGTACTACGAGTTGCTGGACACCAGCAACATGTTTCTGACCCCAGAGGCAGCCAACGAAGTTGTCGAGGTGGTGGAAAACGTGTTGTTGCTTTACTCTGCTTTGGCCCAGAATGCCATGGAGAATAGAGTACTCAAGTATTCGGTTGTGAATAAGCACCACATGTTTTACCACATTGCCCAGGGGGCTGCGTTTTGCAACCCAAAATTCCAGTGGTGCTACATGGCAGAGGATTTCATGAGGCATATAGTCAAAATCGGGGCAGCCAGCCTCATGGGCTCCCCGACGTTGAAGTTATCGCAGAAGGTCTGCGAGCGCTGGCGCATCGGCAGATATTTTGAGTTCGAGCGTGGGCTCGATGTGTGATTTAGTCTTGCGCGGCACGGGCAGTCAAGAAGATGATATAATGGATGGTGAGGGGTGAGCGCTGATACATATATACATACATGTATATATGTATATAGATATAGATATATGTGTGTGTAAAATATGAATAAGCGTGGTGCACCGTATGGCCATACGCACGTGCACACGTACACGCATGCATATACACACACGCGTACCAGTTGGCATGTAACCTAACATTTCTACATAGGTATACTGGCACATATATACATACACGCGTGTAAACATACACATACAATTGCACATGCATATAGACATATATTACACGTTACATGTGCATTTGCATACGCATGAACCTACACACGCGCATTGTAACTGCGTCTCGTACCAGGCCCGTGCCGCAGCAAGCACGCTGTCGAGGGCCCGCTTGCAGCAAGCACCCCCGTCGGGGACCGACTGTGCTTACTTTTTTCGCACGGTCGTGCATCCGCGCCAGTCTCGTTTGGTGCTGGGGCCCAGAGTGCCACCGCCAGCGCTGCGCCGTTGACTGGACAAAGTCGGCACCGCGGTTTGTTTGAGCGTTTGTTGGTGGTTGGTTTGACCGTCGTTGCCACAACTGGATGCGCCTCGTGATCTTTGGTAAAACCATCGAAGTCGGAACCGTGGTTTGTTTGAGCGCTTGTTGGTGGTTGTGTTGGCCACCGTTGCCACAGCTGGATACGCCTCGGAATCATTGGGAAAACGATCGAAGTCGGGATCGTGGTTTGTTTGATCGTTTGTTGGTGGTTGGTTTGGCCGTTGTTGCCACAACTGTTTGCAAACGTTTTCAAACGTTTGCAAACGTTTGTAAACGTTTGCAAACGTTTGCAAACGTTTGCAAACGTTTGCAAACGTTTTCGCTGTACTGAGGAGGGGGAATATGAGGAAGGAGGGGGTGGAGGAGGGGGAGGATGAGGAAGGAGGGGAATGAGGGATTCCATCGGCGCCGTTCAACCCTTAGGCTCGAAGCTCCACGGCTCCCGAGGACAATGGCGGCACACCTAGAAATGAAGGACGAAGATTTGTTCTTGCTGTCTCTGCTTGAGCCCGAAGAGCGGCCCGACAAGCCCGAAACCAAGCCCGAAACCAAGCTCGAAACCAAGCCCGAAACCAGCCCCGACAGCACGCCCGACAGCAAGCCTTGCAGAAATTGCGCGAGGAGAAGTAGAATGAACTCGAGAAAATGAGGGAGGAGAGAGCCGCACGCCAGCGCGACGCAGGCAGGATTTGGCTTTGAATATGTAGGCGCATGAATTCTGCATCGGCCCTCTCCCCTCTCCCCCTCCTCTCCTCGGTCCTCCCCTTCCCCTCCTCCCCTCATCCCTCCTCCCCTCATCCCTCCTCCCTCCCGCCCTCCCCTCGGACCTCCAGGGGGGAAACGTTTGACTGGAGGGCCGATGCAGAATTCATGCGCCTACCGATTCAAAACCAAATCCGCCCCCCAGATCTGTTTGAACTGGGAGTTCGCCAATTCGAGAGGCCCCCCGTGATGGGCCGACCTTCCACTGCGCGAGAGAAGGTGATGTCCGCCCGCGATCGTGGCGCGCCAGAGAGGCAACACACCATCCCCTCCCCCATCACTCCTCATCATTACCTCACTCAGTCTCATCATGATCGTTATCAGCCTATCAAGCATCGAGTCATGGTCAGGTTCGTGCAATATCAACCCGTAAAGCATAGGTCATCATATCAGCACGCATGTACACATGCATACACATAGCTGCAACTTATATCCATATATGTATACGTGCGCCTCGTGGCCACATCGTGCGCTGGTTATGCGTGCGCGGAGTCCCCAAGGAAAACGTTTGCAAACGTTTGTAAACGCGTTGTTGCGCAGTGCTCGACCCCCAAACATGTATGTGACAAACGTTTGCGTCGGCGTGGTCGCTAACGCTACCGATTTTGATGCTAACGCTACCGATTTTCGCTGCTAGCGCTACCGAAATTTCGATGCTAACGCTACCGAAAAAATCCGGTAGCGTTAAGGTCGGTCGCTACCGAAATTGCGTGTGATTTTAGTGCTACCGATTTTAGCTAACGCTACCGAAAAAATCCGGTAGCGGATGATCTGGGTACTTGTGGCCGATCAGACGGCTTGGTGCGTGCTTCAAATTCCCTTCCAGGGGGCGCGGGGAGGGAGGGAGGGCAGCGCAGCCAGCGGAGGCGCCCGCCTGGAGGGAGGTCCCTGGGGCAAGACGACGACGTCGACGTCGTTTCGGGTGACTTTGGGGCGCTCCTGGAGGCTCTCGCCGCCACGGCTTGACGCAGCTTGACAAACTGGCCAAGTGGTCCCCCGGAGGGGTCTGGGCGACAGATTTTGAGCGAAAATTGTGGGGGACAGCCGCGAAGCTCGGCCGCAAAGCTCGCCGGGGCCCTCCTCAGGCCCCGGGACCGCCACAACATCGCCCAGGATGAAGAACTGGTCCCAGCGGAAGCCTCGGGACCCAGCACCCGTTTACACCAGGACGTTATGTCTTCATGTCGACGGGTAGGAGGGAGGAGAGATAAGGAATAATCAGACAACCAGGAGGGTGGAAACGAAGAGGGTCGGGGAGATATAAGAAGGATAAGGCGGGGGGAAGGTGGAGCAGAATGAGGAGGTGGAGGGAGAGGGGAAATGAGGGCGCTGAGGAGGATCTATGCAAAGGGGCAGTCTGCAACCGCACTCACCTGCTCACGATTCGAACGAACACCGCGACCGGGATCGAAGAGGAAATGCTCGAACAACTCAATTTTCTGACGTCGTTAGCAATTGTGACCTACGGGGTGCTTCTCGTCGCCACGGCCAGATTCACCTCGCAACTCTGTACGACTGACGCATCCTGAAGCCGCCCATCCAGGAACGAACCTCAAGAGGGTAGCCTAGGCGAGGGAATCCCGGGAGCATGCATTGACACAGATGCGCGAGGGGGAGCACGGCGGCTGCATCCGTGACGCGTCTGCTTGTAGGGCCAGCGCGAGGGCCTCCTGGAAGACCTCCAGTACATGGTCGCCTCCTCGAAAACACGAGCATTGAACTCCGAACGTCTTGCTAGAAAACATTCGGAAGTCAACAGCCCTTTTGTACGGGGGGAGGCAGCCGAAGTCAACCACAAAGGCCCCTTGCGGAACTCTCGAGTGAGGAGCAGGAGACGGTGAAGCGGACCCAAGTTGGGAGTAGGAGGAGAGAGAAGAAGGGGGCGCGGAAGATCTGAAACCCCAGACCACCTCCGCCCAGAGGACCTGTGGCCTTCTCGCCGGAACACACCCCTGGGATCGAGCCCCGGAGTCCATGTTTAGGCTTGGCGCCTCCTCCTCCTCCTCCTCCTCCTCCTCCTCCTCCTCCTCCTCCTCCTCCTCCTCCTCAACTCCTCCTCCTCCTCCTCCTCCTCCTCCTCCTGCTCCTGCTCCTCCTCCTCGTCCTCTTTCTATGGTCGTCTCCTCCTCCTCCTGCTCCTGCTCCTGCTCCTGCTCCTCCCTCTCCTCCTCCTGCTCCTCCTCCTCCTCCTGCTGCTTCTCCTCCTCCTGCTCCTCTTTCTCATCCTCCTCCCCCTCCTCCTCCCCCTACTCCTCCTCCTCCTTCTCCTCCCCCTTCTCCTCCTCCTCCCAGCAAGGCGCGCCAGAGATGGCTCGCCATCTTCCGTGGGCGGAGGCCGCTTCTCCAGGCCCTGTGCCTCCCCAAACATTTGTTTTTGGAGGAAGCCCGTCTGTCCTGAGAGGAGGGTGCCGAGAGGTCCTGGGTCCGGCGACTCGACGTGTGGACTTCCTCCGCCCCTCCCGCCCCCGATCGATGCACTCACTCTCGCATTTCAAGGGCCGGCTTCTGCGCGAAGCCGCCGGCCAATGATAGGCTCGAGTTGCCCCGCCCCCGCTCCTTCTGCCAGCTCGCCTCTCGTCGGCTTGCACTCGCCTCCAAGGGGATTCACCCAAGCATAAGCCGCAAGTCCACCCGGCCAGTGTCTCGCATACGAGGCGAGTCACTAGTAGAGGGACCCTCATGGTGGCCCTGTGACAAGCCCAAGGGCGGCCGCGCGGCAAACGCGGGACTTCTAGTCGCACTCGGCTGACCCGCGCGTTTGCAGTCCTCTGCCGAGGAGTCATTTTCTCGCCGATTGGATGCATTACGTAAGGATGTCGAGGAACAAGATCGGCATAAACCTATTCAGTGTCCCGAGGTCCGCGCGGATTTCTTGGATTGGCGCCGGGCCTCGCCCGGCGGCGAACCTCCAGCTCCGCGCGCCAGGGACGGGCTTCCCCAATAGATCCGCGCGGATCTTCGAAGATAGGTTTATACAGTTTCTTATTCCCCGGGATGGCAGCGGTGTTGTTTGCATGGCCACGGATGAGGCAGCATGCCAAGAAACACCCTGCTTGCCTCCAGGGTGCCTTGGGTTCTTGGGCTTCGATAGTGTTGCGTGTTGCGACGGGAAAGCGTGACCTGGGGTCTCAGGGTTGGGTTTTTTGTGGAAGGTTTCTTGTGGTCGAGTCCCTACTGTAGTGATACCCCCGCATGCAGCGGCCATGCTCTCGAAATGTGACAGCCGCTCCTTCGCGCAGTTCAAGCCGACGGGGTGCTGTCAGGGCGCTCTTCCTGCAAGTCGGCTGTCACGCCGTGGCAAGTTTCGAAGACCATCTTTGCAGCCATGCGCGTGGATTGTGGTATTGCCCAGAGCTTCCTGACACTAGCCCATGCCCTCGCGCCCCTGAACTTTCAAGCACAGAGGCAGGTCTGCGCGGCGGGGTGAGCTCGATACGCAGTAGTGCAATCGTTGGCAGCAGTCGCAGCATCTGCAGGAGGAGCAGCTCGAGGAGAAACAAGAGACGGAGGAGGAGCAGCATGTATGAGTAGCTTCCGCTGTGGAGCCCGCATCCAACCATTTAACGGTCTACACTGCATCTATGGTTTCCCACGATGGCCGGCACTCGGCGCCTGTATGATATGGCGACAGCGATAAGCCTTCACGCACAAGGATGGCAGGAGCAGGGTCCGGATCATCGAATGGAGACGGTGGTTCAGTTTTTGTGCAACTGTGTATTCCACGATGGCATGGGCAGAGCCTGGCGATTGCCCTTGCAATCGTTGTGGTCTTCCTCTGCCCTCCCGCCTTCAATCGATGCACTGATTCTTGCATTTCAAGGGCTGGCTTCTGCGCGAGGCAGCTGGCCAACGATAGGCTCGAATTGCCCCGCCCCCGCTCCTTCTGCCAGCTCGCCTCTCGTCAGCCCGCTATCGCCTCCAAGGGGATTCACCCATGCAAGGCGAGTCACTAGTAGAGGGACCCTCATGGTGGCCCTGTGACAAGCCCAAGGGCGGCCGCGCGGCAAACGCGGGACTTCTAGTCGCACTCGGCTGACCCGCGCGTTTGCAGTCCTCTGCCGAGGAGTCATTTTCTCGCCGATTGGATGCATTACGTAAGGATGTCGAGGAACAAGATCGGCATAAACCTATTCAGTGTCCCGAGGTCCGCGCGGATTTCTTGGATTGGCGCCGGGCCTCGCCCGGCGGCGAACCTCCAGCTCCGCGCGCCAGGGACGGGCTTCCAGCGCCGACCCAAGAGATCCGCGCGGATCTCCGAGGATATGTTCCTACAGTTTCTTCTTTCCCCGGGATGGCAGCGGTGTGCCGTTGGCATGGCCACGGGTGTGACAACGTGCACAGTGGAAACTCATGCCAAGAAACATCCTGCTTGCCTCCAGGGTGCCTTGGTTTTCTTGCGTTTCGATTGTCTTGACATGGAAAGCGTGACGTTGCCACACCAAACATCTATGGGCGCCCCGGGGTCTCAGGGTTGGGTTTCTTGTGTAACGTTTTTTTTGTGGTCGAGTTCCTATTGTAGTGCAACTACTCGCGACGCAATACGGACGGGACTCGCAGCAAGCAGGACGTGAACGGTACCTTTGATGGCAGCGTTGTGGCACGTGCAAGGGTGTAAGGTTGAGAAGTCATGCGGCGCAGTCGGAACGCACGCGTGTGATCTAAATTCTGATATCCTGCGCCGGAGGATGGTGCAGTCTTCGCGGACGCATCAATTCAGGAACAGCTTGTCTTCCTACACATAGAGATGCTAGGCAGGATGAGCGCCAGGCAAGTGATGATGTGCTGGCGAGTGTCGATGCGCCAGTTGGAGCATCTGTCGTCAGTCATGCTTGGCGGACAGCCGTCGTGTGTTAGCAGAGGTGGGCCGGTGCATGACATGTATGCAGTACCGAATGTTGCCCGTGAGCACGAGCGTTGTTTGTTATCTGTGTTTGACGCCCATTGTGCATTGAGGAGGGCGTTATTCGATCCAGTTTTTATTTCCAAGATGGCCAGATGGTCCTTCCCTGCCTCGCGTACTTTCTTGTGCTTGTTGCCTCGGACACTATTGGTGTTACAGTCTTTTTGGTGGTTGGCCTGGAATCGACCATATCCACTGCTGCTCACGCGGTCCTCTTTACTTCGCACTTTTGAGCTACAGCCCTAAACGTCATGCGAAAATGCTGTACGCCATTCAAGAAGTCTGCATGCCAGCGGGTGCCGCGCAGACATTTCTTATCCCCCGATGTCCCCCAGGGCCCATACAAGCTCTGGGGCACCATTGGGGCTTCACATGTAGACGCACAATGCCCCCCAATGTCTCTGCGTAGCAAGATTTACTCAAGAGGCTTGCACCATGTCGCCGACCCCCTGAAGAGGCGGGGAGTCCACGGTTGAGGCGTCATGGGCTTCTTGGGCACTATCTGGGGACTCTCGTGGGCGTCTTGGGAGCGGTTTGGGAGCTTGGTGGAGCCTCCTAGAGGCAGTTCTGAAGTGTCCTGGGGGCCGTTTTTTTGGCCTCTTTGGAGCCTCTTTTGGGGTTCTTGCCGCATGTGTCCACTGTATCTCGCACGCTTTGAGCGGCAATGCTACACGTCGTGCGCAACTGTCGCACGGGATTCGCACTCAGCACCCCTTCCCTTGCGGGTCCGCGGCGCCGTCCACCTTGGCGGACCGCGGGTGCCACTGCTCACTTGGGCTCGTCGGGTCAATTTTTCCAGTGGGGACGGACGAGGACCTCTGCGGTGGGGGGGAAGGAGCGGCGGAGCAGGGAGGGAGAAGAGAAACACATAGACAGAGAGGGAGAGAGAGAGAGAGAGTGAGAGAGAGAGAGAAGCATATCCCTATTCATGTATTTTTATAGGGCCCGGGACCCCGGAAAAAGCCCCTCCCCCCCTCTAATGAATTTCGCCCACCCCGGGCCTCTCGGGCAACCCTCCAGACGACCCGGGAGAGCCCCACGAAAGCCCAAAGACGGCCCCAGAGGGTTCCAGGCGTTGCAGCGCGCTCTCGAAACGACCACAGAGAGCCCCAAGACGGTCCACGACGACCCCAAAGAAGCCGTCATACCCCCAAAGATCGGTCCAAACATCCCAATCGGCCTCCAAGAGCACCCCTCAGAAGGCCCGAAGAGGCAACATTCATAGATTTTCCATTAATTTTTGGTGACGTTTGGGGTTCTCCTCGTTTTGGCTTCCTGACGCTCCAGAACGGCGGTCTTCTGGGCGTCCGAAGCCGCATGCGAGGCTTTAAGATCGCCCCACAACCATCCGAAAGGGCTTCCAGGCAGTCCAGGAGAGCCCCAAGATGGATGGCAAAACAGGGTTCCAACATGACCTAAGAGAGCCCCATGACGGCCCAAGATGGCCCCAAGACACCCTCCGAGGTACTCCAAATCGTGACCCGGTCGTTCAGGGAAACCGCGGTTGGAGGCAGGGTGGCCCGAGGAAGCCCCCAGATGCCCCCAGAAGACGCCCGGGAGGCTTGCAAAAGGCTTCAAGAACATGTGAAACATTTCCGTAAGGCCCCCAGAGGCTCTCCAAGGAGGAGCCTCCGCAAAAAGAGCTGAGGATGGGGAAAATACGCAGGGTAGAGCGAGAATGAGGAAAAATAAGCATGGAGGAAATATAAGGAATCACTTTATTATAACGGCGATGCCAGAAAAGGCAACAAGGCCCAAGGGGTTATCGCTATTATCGCTAGATTGTCGGTTTGACTTTCCTGCCGTTCCGCTTGCATACCAAGCTTCAAGGACCAAGGTGCATGGCGCGAAGCGCTAATGCAGCCATACATACATACATACATACATACATACATACATACATACATACATACGCACATACATATATATATATATATAGATATATATATATATATAAACAAAGAGATAAACTAAATAAAGAAATGCACACACATCTATATATATATATAGAGAGAGAGAGAGAGTGAGAGACATTGGCGGGGATGAGGAAGGGGGAAAGGGGCTATCGAGGGTCAGGCAGATGGATGGAACGGAAGGGGGTTCAAGAGGGTGGCGAGGGTACAGTTCGGTACCTCTTTGGCCAGATTGTTGAGTCAGTTCGGCGCGGGCCTGGGCAGGACTTCCACCTGCCTTTCCGCTGCTCGGTCACTTCCCCCACCTCCTGCATTTCCTCCTTCCCGTTGGTTCAGGTCCCAGCTAGAACTCACGCTGAGTTAGACAACATCGCCAGATGAGCGGGGAGAGGGTATATGGATCGAATGAGGTTGGCAATGCCTTTCAAATCGAGCGGCACCAAGCGAGAGTCCCAAGGTCGAAAGGCTACATGTTCGCACCGTTCTTGCAGAGGCCCGCCCCTGCCAAGGATCGGCGTGCACACCCTCCTGGCCCAGCCAAGAGCGCGCACGCACCGAGCATGCGCTTGGGATTTGCTCTGCCAGGACCGGCGTGATTGCGCGTCCAGGTCGTCCGCCCTGGGCGCAGGACCATCGAGTGCGATCCTGCGGAGGCGCGGCCGAGAACTGACCCCCGGACGGAGCGAGAAGCCGCAGCGGCAGCACACCTTTTGGAGCGAGCGAGACATCGGCGCGCAGGCCTCGCGACCCCCAGCCCCTCGCCGACAGCATGCTGTCGCAGGCTCGGGTATTTATATATATACACACACCCAGGGGGACTGTTCTGACGCACCCTTATGGAGTCTGGACTTCCCTCTATCGTATATCCCCGAGTGGGGCCCCACATCCGTGGTCCGTTCGGAAACCTCACGGAGTTGGGAAGAGGGGTCGGCATGTCCCCCTGCTGTGCTGGCACTCGCCCGTGCCGTCGTTCCCTCCAGGTGCCCGTGCTCGGGGTACCTCCCGCACCGCTGCCTCGCCCGCGCATTCCCGCCCGCGTCGTCACGTCCCCTCCGGTGCCACGTGCTGCGCTAAGCAACGGAGGTCGCAGCGCTCGGACGCCGTCTGCATCAACTCATCGGAGAGCGAGCGGTATAATCGAATCTAAGCAACAGCGTTAGTCCTGGACGTAGAAAGGGAGGATTCCCCCGTGTCTCTTCTCTCTCTCTCTCTCTCTCTCTCTTTATCTCTCTCTCTCTCTCTTTGTTTTTCTCTCTCTCTCTCTCTCTCTTTCCCTCTCTCTGTCTCTGTCTTGTTTTCTTTCTCTCTCTCTCTCTCTCTCGCTTTCCCTCTCTCTCTCTCTCTCGTGGGGGGGGGCGAACAGCGCTCCTGGCGGCGAAAAGTGTATGATTCCTCCCCCATTGGTCTGATGTTTCGCTCGTGTCGATGCCTTCTACTATTCGCACGATATGAAGACCCGTGCCTTCAGTGATCTTGGGCCTCTCAACGATGTACTATTCTTCGCTTTTTCCCAGCCCTCCTAGTTGGGCATCTCCTTTTGAATGGAGCACTGTTGTAATCACTCCTCCTCTTCCGCCCCGACCCTCCTGCTTCCTTCTGCGCTTCTCCCTGGGAGGCTGCGAACTGCGCACTCGTCGCCACCGTGGACTCCTGGGAGGTCCAGCGGAGTCGGGGGCCACGGAGATCCATTTGGGACATCGCAGCTCCCCCAGCGGTTAAGAACTGCGCACTCGTCATCACTTTGGTGGACTCTTACGGGCCACGCGGATCAGTTGGGGGCCTCGCTGCTCTTTGGGTGGCTGCGATGTGCGCCACCGTCACCATTGTCGAGGGCTCCCGGGACGTCCAACGGAGTCGAGGGCCACGCGGATCCACTTGGGGACCTGGCTGCACATTGGGAGGCTGCGAACTGTGCTACCGTCTACACTTTCGTGTGATCCTGGGAGGACCAGCGGAGTCGGGGGCCATGCGGACCCATTGGCATTGGGGACCTTGCTGCTCCCTGGGCGGTTAAGAGCTGCGCAACCGTCGCAACTTTCGTGGGCTCCTGGGAGGTCCAGCGGAGTCGGGGGCCACACGGACCCATTGGGGACCTCGTTGCGCCTTGGTGGCAACGGACTGCGCAAGTGTATTTGATAATTGTTGTTATCTTCTGGGAGGTCCAGCGGAGTTGGGGGACCCGCGGATGACTTGGGGACATCGCTGCTGGTAGGCTGATAATTCGCATTCGTCGCCACTTTCGTAGGCTCCTGTGAGGTCAAGCGGAGTCGGGGGCCACGCGGACCCATTTGGGACCTCGCTGCTCTTTGGGAGGCTGCGAAGTGTGCAATCGTCACCGCTTTCGTGGGCTCCTGAGAGGCACGGCGGAGGTGAGGGCAGCGCAGGTCCATTTGAGATCTCGCAGCTCCCTCGTGTGCTGCGAAGTGTGAGATTTCTCGCCACTGCCGTGGGCTCCTGGGAGGCACGGCGGAGATGAGGGCAGCGCAGATCGTGCATAGTTGGCGACGTTGTTCTGTGTGGAGCGCTCCCGCAAATCGCCCCGCGTGGACACACGGGGCTGCGCACGTCTCGGGCAACTGTGTGCAACTCTTGCACTCACGACGCTATCGCCTCCGTGCAGGCCGAGCGGCGTAGGAGGGGCGAAGCGAGGCTGAGCACCCTGGAGGAGCCCGCTCCTGCGGCACGGCTCCTGCTGCCCGCTGCTGGCCGTGACCCCTTCGCACCCCCTCCCCTCCGCCCTCGCCTCTCCTGCTGCTCGCCGCTGGCGGTGGCCTCCTCGCACCCCCTCCCTCCTCTCTCGCACCCCCTCTTCCCTAGCCCGTCTTGGGCACGACTGCCTTCAGACTACAGTCGACCCGCATAGTAAGGATAGGCATCCCTCCCAAGGGTACCCTTGCATCCTGGCCCCCTGGGTCCATCCTTGGACACTTTCGTTGGCCGCGCCCCGCTCGAAACGCTGCGAAATGGGCGTCCAAGGCCCTTGCATCCTTATCGCGCATCCTTACTATACGGGTTGACTGTACGAGCTCCAGTCGAGCTGATGATCGTTGCAGAATCCACGACGGACAACGGCCCAAGATTCGCAGTCGGGCTGAGCTCACTCGTCGGGGTTCGGATTCGCTTCTCGACGGGGTCTCGCTCGCCCTCCTCGGGTGCAACTCCTGGCGGCGCTGGTATTTTCGCGGTCGATAACGGGCTTAATCTGGGCTGATCCGGCCGAATCCGGCTTAATCCTGTTGAATCCGGCTGAATCCGCCTCAATCCAAGGCAAAGTCTGGCCTGATCCTGTGAAGTGGCACCCCAGTCGGACTTAATCGCCCTCAATCGTTCCAACGAAGAGCTCCCAGGAGTTGCCCCCGAAGCTCCCTCCTCCCCCGGCCCGTCTCCGGCTCCACCTGGGGCCTTCAGGAAGGGCGCCTCACTTTCGGCAGGCGGCGCAGAGGCTGCGGAGGCTGGCGGCAGTATTCGGGGAAGGCTTGAGCCGTCGGACGCCCCAGGGGATGCGGCTCAGGTGCAACGTTGCGGGGGTGGGGATGTGCTCAGGGGGGGATGCATGGACCCTCAGAGACAAGATTTTCAGATAGCAAACGACGGCACAAGCACAAGTTCTCGGGGGTCTGGGCGGACCTCCGAGAATTTACGCTTATGCTGCTTGTTTGTTCCTGCATCCAAGGGCAATGTTCGGGGGGGGGGATAGTCTCGGGCGGTCATGCATCGACAGTCGCCTATTGATCGCAGATGGGGGCCCGATAGCCCCACCCTGCCCTGGCATGTGCGGTTTCGCTATCAGTGGCCTACCGCCGATCCATCGGCGATGTATCGTCGACTCCAGGTCGATGGTCCCCCCTCTGGATCGGTCCCCCTGGACGTTGCCCCTCGTCCTCCAGGCCCGTCTCCCGCTCCACGTGTGGCGTCCGAGGAAGGGCCTCGCCTTCGGCAGCGTCTCGCCTTCGGCGGAAGGCGGCGGGGGCCAGCGGAAGTAACACGGGGGCGGCTCCGCTGGCGGAGTCCTCCGAGTAATTCGGTGTCAGCTTGATGGGGCGCAGGGCTTTTCAGGAGCTGGCCATGTACTTCTGTCCCTTTCGCGGCTCCGTTGCAGAGGTCTGGTTCGGGAAGACCGTGGACCCCGTGAGGCGACTGGGTGACGAAGCATCTCTCTTTATAGCCAGGGACACTCGCACCTGCGCGCGTTACTCGAACCGTCGCCGTTGCCCCACAACGTACTGATTCCTTGGGATTGGGTTAGTACCCCAGCAACGATAAGTCGGAATAGAGATAGTAGGCTGGCCTGCTTTTCGCGATGCGGATTTCTAGCGAAGCCAGTCTTTGCGCGCGGGTGACTTCATAATGCATAATACATAATTGCGCCAATTGGGCGATGAGGGAGGAATGGCCGCGAGTTGCCAGATGTGCAATGGCGATGGTATTGGCATAGCCTTTCTCGGGCCCTGGGTCGAACAGAACATACTGGTTTGGCAAGAGGAGTCTTCGGACCTGGCCATGACCGACTTTGCTATCGGCGTGGTGTTTCTAGTTTCTAGTGCCCGAAGTTTTTATTTGTGGGTCGCACCGCGAAAGGCGCGGATTCATCAACAACGACTCCAGCATCTATTCCGCACGTTGGCGTTCAACAGTGGAGCTCTCCTCTGGCCCATCAGAGCGCTCCTCGAAAGTTTGGGGCGCGATTGATCGATCGAGCTTTCCCGAAAATGCTCCGAAGCACCATCTTGGGGTCCTCTCGGAAAACGATGCTGCAGCGCGGCGTAGGCGTAACTCTACACGGTTGCTGCGTCGCCTTTGAGAGCGTTTATCGGAGGTTTCTTGGGTGTTTGGGGACCTCTTGGGCGTCTCTTGAAGCCCCCCTGGGAACCCAGTCGGGGCCGCCTGCAATCTGATGCGATTCGATTCGCTGCTTGGGCTCTCGATTCCGATTCGCTTCGATTTTGCTGGATTCACCGGGACCGGCCGGTGCCAGCCACGACGGTCCGATTTCCATTCGACTTTGGGCGATCCGTTGGCGATCCGATCCGTTCCCGATCGGGCGCCTCCCGAGCCAGTCGGGGGCATTTGGGGGCACTGTGGCCCCTCCCGACGGCCGCGACGAGGCGCGACTGTCCTGCCGAGCTCTCCCGAGGCGGGTGGCTCGGTGGAGGGCAATGCGGGTGCCGCCTGGGCGGAGTTGTTGGGCCCACCCGCAGCGCTCTGCAGGTGGTGCTGGGCCGTGTCGGTGGGGCCTCCCAGATCTCCGAGGATCGGATGTTTCTCAATCCGGGCGCTTTTCCTGGATTTCGGCCTGGGGGGCCCTTCCTCGGGCCCTCGGACCATCAAGAAGATCCGGGGCGAAAAACGACCCCCGGGGGAAGGGGTCGGTCCCAATGGGGCGGCGGATTGAAAGAACAGATCGGAGGATGTCTGGGCTCGGACTGCGCACAGACGGCCCCGCCCAGCTGGCCTCGGCAGGCTCCCCGAATAGCCCGGGGCGGTCTCAGCACTGGGTCCCACCCGGAGCCCTCTCCAGGTGGTGTTGGACCGTCGTCTTGGTAAGGTTTCGGGCTGCGCACGGGCGGACCCCCCAAGTAGTCCCGGCTGGGCTCAACAGGCCCCCCGAGTAGTTCGGGGCGGTCTCGGCATCTTGGCGCCGCCTCCGGCGGCGCCCCTGCGGCACTCCGTGCCCCAGGGGTTGGGGTGTTTGGAGTGTTGAGACCGCCCCAGGCTATGCGGGGGGCCCTGAGAAGGGTCCCAGGGGAAACCACTCGGGGCTTCTGGGAGTTTGTTTGGGCCTCTCACAGACCTCTTGAGGCCTCCAGGAGGTGCTTGGCCTGTTGTGGGTCTGTCTCGGGGCATCCTACAGCCAGTTGCGGGGTGCTGCTTGGTAACATTGGGATCGAGGGGAGCCCTGGAGAGCAGGGCGCAGGGTCGCGAAATCCGACGCATGGGCACGATGAGGGCAGCGGCGCCCCTAACATGCAGCCGGATGCATTTGAGTACAAAACAGCGTTCCGCAGAGTCTCGAGTCGGTGACGCCATAGCAACTAGCCATGATGTGTGACAAAGACGCTGCTGCTCAGGTTGGTACGCACGGGCGACCTGCGAAGAAATTATGAGGTAGTGATGATGAAAACTGTACCGTGCCCTGCCGCGCCCGCGTGCACTGCGGTGCGTGGGCCGTGCCGTGCCAGCGTGCCGTTCCGAACGCGTGCCGTGTCGTGCCCGAGCTCTGGAATACGAGCGATGTGGCGTGCCGTGCCGTGCCGTGCCCGCGTGAGGTGCCGTAGCCGCGTGCCGTGCCGTGCCCGCGGGGTGCGAAGCAGGTGCCGCGCCCGCGTGCCGTGCGGTGCGCGTGCCGCGCCGCGCCCGCCTGCCGTGCCGTGCCCACACGCCGTGCCGTGCCGTGCCGTGCCGTGCCGCGCCCGTGTGCGAGGGTTCGAGAAGTGTGCGCGCGTGCCGTGCCGTGCGCGTGCCGTGCCGTGCCCGCGTGCCGTGCCGTGTCCGCGTGCCATGCCGTGCCCGCGTGCCGTGCCGTGTCCGCGTGCCGTGCCGTGTCCGCGTGTCGTGCCGTGCCCGCGTGCCGTGCCGTGCCCGCGTGCGTCAGGGCGCCCATGGCCTGACCTGGACTTTCTGCACCGAGGGCGCGGCGTGCCAATTCGTCCATGGCTGATGTTGCGGTGCCAGGGAGTAGTAGTCGCGCTCGGCGTCGGGGGGATCGCAGCCGCATGGCTGTGGGAGCGACCAGGAGAGCACATGCCAACTGCATGTCTGGTGCGCTTCTGGGGGCTGCTGGAGTCGTGGCCAGGGTGAAACGGAGCGAGTGCAGCGGAGGAGGATCGCGCACTCCACCTCAGCAGATAGCCGTGCCATTCAGCATTTCTTTACCCCGCCACCCCCGTTGAATCCTCGAGGGCGAGGGCGCCGCGTGCACGGTCACAATCCACTTGGAAAGGGGTGGCGCGGCCGGCCTGGCATTGCCCAGGCATTCATAACGGAACGCATTGTGCGCCGGGTGTCCCTTCTGCTGCGCCCCGCTCGCAGTGCAGGTGGGACGAGGCCGAGACGTTCACGGTGAACGCGGAGGTCGACTTCTCCCTGGTGCCCCTCGGTGCGCCAGCCGCTCCCGGGGCCCTAACCCTGCGCCCGCGGTTGGCGGGCGAGGCGGTGTCGGCCAGGCCCCGCTGGCCGGTACTCGCAGGGCGCTGCGGGTTTGGTACGGGCGGGAAGTGGTCTGCAGCTTTGGGAGGCCTCGTCTGTCCTGTAGATGGCAGTATTCTTCTACTCGGACGTATTCGACGTGAATTCGACGTGGATTCGATACGAATTCAGCACGGATCCGATGCGCTCGGCATGCACCCCGCATGGATGCGACACGGATGGCTGGCGCGATGAGACAGAACAGGTCTCCCAAAAGCTGCAACATCCAAGGGCGGCGGCCCACAGAAAGGCCGCAGCGTTGTGCATTGCGTGGGTGCGAGCCAACCGATCCAGGCCTCCCAAATTGGGTCCGAGCGGATGGGGTCGGACGATCGCGTCGCATCGCCAATGTATCGGCGATGCGGCTCCATGTGGATCCCGATTTTCTCCACGCCGACTGCGCCGATGCATCGCCGACGTCGCCACTGCAGATCAAATGCATCGGCGATGCGGCGCGATTGTCCGATCCCATCTAGTAGGGCCCCATTTGGGAGGCCTCCAACCGAGGAGACAACAATCCACAGATCGCCAGCTTGGCCAAAAGGGCCCGAACAGCGCCCACGATTCTGCGGCAATCGTGCGGCTGGGAGCACACTTCGAGCGCGAACTCGTTAGATCTTGACCCCTAGTAGTAAAAAAACTCAGCCCCATAGTTTGTACGGCGTGCGACCATCGCTCAATAGATCGTGCAGATGGCTGGCAAAAGGGCGGCGATAAGCACGGGAACGTTAGCTTCAAATTGAAACGGTAGTCTGAGTACCTCAATAGTTTTGGGTCCCCAGACTACAAGGGCCCCACGGAGTACAAGGGCGATCCCTGCCCTGGACTACAAGGGCCCCCCCCTGGACTACAGGGACTACAATGGCCGCCCCCCCCGGGACTACAGTGACCCACCCCTGGCTGGATTACACGGACCCGCCCCGGATTAGAGTCACCCCCGCCCAACACAGGAGATGCTACGGGTTGCCAGTGACGGATGCCGGGGCCGTTGTCTCGGAGAAGGGCTCCTCGCACGCGCGCGCGTTACAGCAGCGGAATCGCCGCGTTGCTTGCCGACGGGATTGCGCGCTTGTGCAAGGCGCATTGTCTGCGTTTCCCCCCCCGGACTACAGGAACTTCCCCCTGACTTCAAGGGCCCCCCCCAACCCCTGGACTACAAAGGCCCCCCCGAACTACAAGGCACCCCCGGAACCCCCCCGACTCCTGGGCCCCCCCCCGGACTATTGGTCAATCCAATACCATTGAGGCACTCATAGTAGACGTTTGGAATTACCCGTCGCAGCCACCGCATGGCGAGAGCTGTGAGAACCGAGTAGGGGCGCGAGGCAGCAGCGTCCGCTTGTCCGAGGTAGAACGGTCATTCACGGTCCCTGGGTGCATGGTTGAAGTGGGATTCCGCGGTGCGGATTATTGTTGTTGTTGTTGTTGTTGTTGTTGTTGTTGATGTTGTTATTGATGTTGTTGTTGTTGCTGTTGCTGTTGCTGTTGCTGTTGCTGTTGTTGTTGATGTTGTTGTTGTTGTTGTTGTTGTTGTTATTGTTGTTGTTGTTGTTGTTGGTGGTGTTGGTGTTGTTGTTGTTGTTGTTGTTGTTGTTGTTGTTGTTGTTGTTGGTGTGTGTGTGTGTGTTTGTTTGTGTGTTTGTTTGTTTGTTTGTTTGTTTTTTGCTTATGCGTTCGTTCGTCCGTTTGTTTGTTTGATTGTTGTTGGTGGTGGTGGTGTTGTTGTTGCTGTTTGGCGTCGTCCCCCCCACGGCCCGGCCCGCGACCCACCCGCGACCGCCCCGCGACCCACCCCCGACCCACCAGCGACCCACCCGCGACCCACTTGTGACCCACTTGCGACCCACCCGTGACCGTCCCGCGACCCACCCCGCGACCGTCCGACGACCCACCCCGCGACCCGCCCGCGACCCGCCCCGCGACCCACCCCGCGACCCAACCGCGACCCACCCAGCGACCCACCCGCGAGCCACCCAGCGACCCACCCACATTGCTTCAACGAAAACATCGGCGCTTGCGGCGAGCCCGTTTAATACTTTGTAAAAGGAGTGGCGCTTGCGGCGGGTTTCTTCAGAGCCTCACAGACTGCCGACGCCCCCGCCGCCCCTTCATTGTTATCTGCAACTTCGGGGTGCTACGTAAACGTGAGACTGCGCCAACTTACGTCTGCGGCGCCTACAGAAAGTCGGTTCGTTGAAAGCGGCCTCTCGATTATCCAGCTGCCTGCGGGCCACCGTGCCTGTGCAACAGCGCAGCAGGAGGACACTGCGTGTAGGAACAGCCCAATGCGGGCGACTGGTCTGAACTAGGACGGGTCGAGAACTCGACCTCGTCTTGGCCGCGCGGTAGGGGGGAGATCGAGATTATGCCCCGCTGCAGTTCAGCGAGCGGTCTGAATTGAGGCGGGCCGTGAATTCGATCTCATTTTCGTCTGCGCTTTAGGGAGGAGGAGGGGGACGAGGAGGAGAGGGAGAGCATTGTAAGGCAACGAGGAGAAGGCCTTGCAGTGGCTCGTTGGGGCCCCTTGGGGCCTCTTGGGCCGTCTTAGGGGGCTCTTGGCCTGCCTGACGCCTTCGGAGGCCGTCTTCGGGGCATCTCTGGACCGTCTTTGAGCATTCCTCTTAGGAGGCTCTTGGGTGATCGCGGGTCCTCTTGGGCCAACTTGGGCCTTCTTTGGGGCCTGGTGGGTTGTCTTGGAGCTATTTTGAAAGCTATCGGGCCGTCGTTGGCGGTCGGAAACTCAAGCAGTCGAGAACTTCAAACCTTTCAAGCGCCTAGCGGGAAACAATGTGTTTCGTCTCCTCGGATTCCTATTTGGGGCCTATTCGGGCCTCCTTAGGGGGCTCGTAGCATGTCTGGCGCCGTCGGAGGTTGTCTTGAGGAGCGCTTTAGGGCCGTCTTGGGGCCCTGTTGGACGTCCCTTGGGCGATCTTGGGGTCCTCTCGGGCCGACTTGGGGCCCTCTTTGGGGCCTCCTGGGCTGCCTTGGAGCTATGTTTGAGGCTTCTTGGGCCTTCTCAGGCGGGTGGAAACCGAAACTGGCGAGAACCTCAACATCCTTCACACACGTACATTAGTGGAATCACTGCGTGTTGCTTTCTCGGGCTCTCCTGGAGGGCGTCTTCGAGCCCCCTTTGGCTGTCTTGGGAGCCTCTTGGGCAGTCTTGAGGCCGTCATGGGCAGTGTTGAGTCGTTTCGGCGTCGTCTTCGCTGTCTTGGAATCTGTCTTGTGGGCCATCTTGGCTATCAGGGGTGTGTTTTTATACCACGCTTGCGGGCGTGGGACGAGGCGGCCTTAGAACAATGTGGTTCATCTCCCAGGCAACAGGCGCGCATTCCAACACGCCACTTCCGTGCAGGCACGGTGGTGAATCTTTGATTGAAGAGTGAGTGGTGCTTGCATGGGGAAGGACCAAATCAGCAAATCAGCGGCACTGCTGTCCCGATCAGTCAGGGGGCACGGGATGCTGCGTTTGGGAAACGACACCTTCTGTCTAGCTTGTTCCGGGGTTCCCTGTCGGGCAAGGGGGCTGGACTGGGGAGGCACTGGCCCAGCTGCCATGTTCCGCCCGTCCGCCTCGTCCCCAACTTCGTCTTCGACCTCGCGCAGCATCGGGAGAGGGTGGGGTGATGCCCCCTTGTGGCACATCCCAGCGTGTGGGTTACCCCGACGGGAGCCTATATATATATATATATATGTATATACATATATATATATGGTCGGTCCCCCCCAGCGACCCCCCAAACCATTAAAACCACAAAACGTTCACTGATCTTTTCCTCTTCCTCTTCTCCTCCTCCTTCTTCTTCTTCTCATTATTATGTTTTGTTCTTTGTTCAATAGTTCTGTCTGTTGCTTGTTGTGGCCGCTTTCAAATCGACCAACCACTCCACCCCAGGCAGACGCCCCAGCCTGGGCGTGGGGGGGCAGAGCGCCGAAAAGCAACAAAACTGGGAAATCAGTCAAACTCAAAGGAAAAACAGGAAAGTCAGAGCACCCAGGCAAAAAAATCAACGAAATCCAAGCCCCGAGTTGTTTTTGGCAGACAACCAGAGGACACCTCAGGTTTTTTTATGCTTCCCATCAGAAAACAACTCGGGACTCTGATGTCGTTGATTTGTTTGCTTGGGTGCTCTGATCTTCATGTTTTTCTTTTGGTTTTGACTGATCTTCCTGTTTTTGTTGCGTTTCGGCGCCCTCGCTCCCCCAGCGCCGCCTCCACCTCGCGCCCAGAGGGGGCGCGGGGGAGCAGAAACCAACAAAACATGACAATCAGTCAAAACCAAAGGAAAAACATGAAAACCATAGCACCCAGGCAAAACGATCAACGAAATCTAAGCCCCGAGTTTTTTTTTTGGCAGACAACCAGAGGACACCTCAGATTGTTTTTAAGCTTCCCATCAGAAAACAACTCGGGACTCTGATTTCGTTGATGTTTTTGCTTGGGTGCTCTGATTTTCCTGTTTTTCCTTTGGTGTTGACTGACTTTCCAGTTTTTGTTGCTTTTCGGCGCCCTCGCTCATCCAGCGCCGCCTCCACCTCACGCCCAGGGGGCGCGGGGGAGCAGAAACCAACAACACCAGGAAAATCAGTCAAAACCACAGGAAAACCATGAACATCAGAGCACCCATGCAAAGAAAACAACGAAATCCAAGCCCCGAGTTGTTTTTGGCAGAACACCAAAGAAAACCTCAGGTCTTGTAAAGCTTCCCACCAGAAAACAACTCGGGACTCTGATTTCGTTGTTTTTGTTTTGGTTGGGTGCTCCGATTTTCATGTTTTCCTTTTGGGTTTGACGGATTGTCCTGTTTTTGTTGATTTTCGGCGCCCTCGCTCCCCCAGCGCCGCCTCCACCTCACGCCCAGAGGGGGCACGGGGGAGCAGAAACCAACAAAAACAGGAAAATCAGTCAAAACCAAGGGAAACCAATGAAAATCTGAGCACCCAGGCAAACAAATCAACGAACTCCAAGCCTCGAGTTGTTTTTTGGCGGCAAAACAAAATAACATCTAATGTTTTTAGAGCTTCCCATCAGAAAAATTATCCTGGCGAAGGACCCAACCATATGCCATTGTGAATACTGCAATTGTGAATATCTTCTCGGTGGAGCCCCCTACGGGGCCACGAAACGTACGAGGGGTGTGCCGAAATGGGTGTGCGGGACGCATGCGGGCACACCCACTGGGGCCTTCGGTGGAGCTCCCTATGAGGCAACGAAACGTGTGAGGGGTGTGCCGAAATGGGTGTGCGCGGCGCATGCGGGCACACCCACTGGGACATTCGGCTGAGCTCCTTATGGGGCCACGGTACGCGTGAAGGGCGTGCCGAAATGGGTGTGGGTGACGCATGCGGGCGCGGGCACTGGGGCCTTCGGCGGAGCTCCCTATGGGGCCACGAAACGTGTGAGGGGTGTGCCGACCTGACATGTGTGGCTGACGCATGGAGCGGGCGCGTGTGAGGGGTGTGCACATGGGGCCTTCGGTGGAGCTCCCTATGGAGCCACGAAACGTGTGAGGGGTGTGCCGAAATGGGTGTGGGTGACGCATGCGGGCGCGGGCACTGGGCCTTCGGTGGAGCTCCCTATGGAGCCACGAAACGTGTGAGGGGTGTGCCGAAATGGGTGTGGGTGACGCATGCGGGCGCGGGCACTGGGGCCTTCGGTGGAGCTCCCTATGGAGCCACGAAACGTGTGAGGGGTGTGCCGAAATGGGTGTGGGACGCATGCGGGCGCGGGCACTGGGGCCGAAATGGGTGTGGGTGACGCATGCGGGCGCGGGCACTGGGGCCTTCGGTGGAGCTCCCTATGGAGCCACGAAACGTGTGAGGGGTGTGCCGAAATGGGTGTGGGTGACGCATGCGGGCGCGGGCACTGGGGCCTTCGGTGGAGCTCCCTATGGAGCCACGAAACGTGTGAGGGGTGTGCCGAATGGGTGTGGGTGACGCATGCGGGCGCGGGCACTGGGGCCTTCGGTGGAGCTCCCTATGGAGCCACGAAACGTGTGAGGGGTGTGCCGAAATGGGTGTGGTGACGCATGCGGGCGCGGGCACTGGGGCCTTCGGTGGAGCCTATGGAGCCACGAAGCGTGTGAGGGGTGTGCCGACGCAAGGGGTGTGGGAAACGTGTGAGGGGTGTGCCGCATGGGTGTGGGGACGCATGCGGGCGCGGGCACTGGGGCCTTCGGTGGAGCTCCCTATGGAGCCACGGAACGTGTGAGGGGTGTGCCGAAATGGGTGTGGGTGACGCATGCGGGCGCGGGCACTGGGGCCTTCGGTGGAGCTCCCTATGGAGCCACGAAACGTGTGAGGGGTGTGCCGAAATGGGTGTGGGTGACGCATGCGGGCGCGGGCACTGGGGCCTTCGGTGGAGCTCCCTATGGAGCCACGAAACGTGTGAGGGGTGTGCCGAAATGGGTGTGGGTGACGCATGCGGGCGCGGGCACTGGGGCCTTCGGTGGAGCTCCCTATGGGGCCACGAAACGGTGTACTGGGTGGGTGAAGAGGAGAGGAGGAGAGGAGAGAGGAGAGGAGAGGAGAGGAGAGGAGAGAGGAGAGGAGAGGAGAGGAGAGGAATGATGATGATAATGATGATGATAATGATGATGATGACGATGATGATGATGATGACGATGAGGATGATAGGAGGGGAGAGGAGGCGGAGGAGGAGAGGAGGAAGGAGACGCGGGGCACCGTCTCTTCAAAACGAGGACCCAACACCACAGGATGGTTGGGAACAGCTCAAGGCTTTGATTTCGTTGTTTTTTTTTGTCTGGGTGCTTTGATTCCCTTGTTTTCCTTTGGTTTTGACTGGTTTTTCTGTTTTTGTTGATGTTCGGCGCCCTCGCCCCCCCAGCGCCGCCACAAAAGTAATCCCTCTGGAATCATCCACAAACATACTCCATTTGGAATCCGCCACAGAAGGAATCCCAATGTAATCCTCTACAACAAGAAATCATATTGCATTCCCCTACAACAGAAATCCTGTTGTAAACCTCCAAACAAGGAATACATGTGAAAATCTGCGACAAAAGAACTCCATCGATACGGAGCCAAGCCAATAGGGAGTTGAGAAGGAGCCAAGAGGGAGCCAAAGGGAGCCAGGAGGAGCTTGCTGAAGGTTTTGAAAAAAAAGGGGGTTGCTAGCGCTTGCCGCTGCCCACGAGGGCTTCTTGAGGCTCTGCCAAAAGGGAACGTCTGTGCATTTGTTGTTCATTGTTGCGGGGGGCGGAGCACACAAAAATGAAGTTCCGGGGCGCTTCGCGCAGAACATCGTTGTTGGACATGTAGGTTTCAGTACAACGTTTAGCACTTTTCGAGGGTATGTGTTTCCAAAAACAAATTGTGGGTGTCTTTGGTGTGCCTTTCGGGTGCTCCCCGGGTGTCTTGACAGTGAAATCTTGGGTCGCTTGGAGCAAAGCTTTGGTTTCGTAATCGGAGGTTTCAATTGCAAGCGCAACACTTTTGGAAGAGTTTTTGTTTCTTGAAATATGGCGTAAGCAATTTGCGGGTGCCCTTGGGGTGCATAGCGGGTGCCTTGCGGGTGCCTTGGCCGTGCAAGCCTTGGGTCTTTTGGAGCAAAGCGTGGATTTCGTAGTCGCACACTTCAATAGCACATGCAGTACTTTTCTAGAAATTTCCCAGCGCAGGCGCTCGGTTTCAGAAGCCTGCCATCTGGGAGCAGTGGGGCGGCAGTGTCCAGCGCGGCGATGCGAAGTCCCTCGTGTTGTTCAGGCTCGACCCAGCCAAGACAAAGAGGCGAGCGTGATTGGGAGCCCCTGGCTAAGAAATGGGCCCACAAGCGGAACACCATACTTAACACGGATGGCGCGAGCAGTTATAAGATGAAGCTCGAGGGGGTCAATCATGACTGGGTGGTTCACAAGAAAAACGCGTCCAGATCAAGGGCAAGTGGACGTGGGTCAAGCCCGCGTGCGTCAAGGTGCACTACCACAACGTGCCTGATGACGACCAGCCCCACAAGACCAAGCGCATTTGGGTTAAAGCTGGCACCCAGATCATCGACCGCGTCTGGGGCGAGCTGCGAAAGCACTTGGGAACCAGAAAGCCCGTCAACACCAAGATGCTGACTAACAAACTCCGTTCGTTCCAGTGGCTGCACTGGCACAGGGGCGAAGACTTGTGGCTGGCGACAGGGGAAATGCTGGAGGAAGCGTTCCTGAGGAAGCATGGCCAGTGAGCCTTCCAGCGTAACATAGCGCCATGGACGGATGTGCTGAGCAGGCGAGCGTGTCAGCCGTGAGCAAAAACAGCGGAAGCACATGGGAGGAGAGATCGTGCAGTTCGAGAACCGACCGATTGTACGGCGTCACGTTTTGGGCGTTTTTTTTTTTTTTTGGGGGGGGGGGGGGGCGCTGGGGGGGGGGGGGGGGGGGGGGCACGCACACACACATACACACACATTCACACACACACACCTATATATACATATATATATATATGTATGTATGTGTATGTGTATGTGTATGTGTATGTATATGTATATGTATATGTATATGTATATGTATATGTATATGTATATGTATATGTATTTATAGAGAGAGGGAAAGAGAGAGAGAGAGAGAGAGAGAGAGAGAGTCGCGCGCGTTGTTGGCTGACGCGGGGGGCGGGCAACCGTCGCTGCATCTGTCTGCTTCGTCCTCGGGGCCCCCTTCGCGGGCACCGTGGTAAACCTCGGCTGACCCACCCAGCGAGCGAGGCGCCTTCGCGTGCCCACTGGGGGGGCAGCAGACGAAACCTCGGCTGCCATACCCAGCGCACGACGCGCCCACTGGCGTGCACCATGCGAAACCTCGGCCGACCTGTCCGATCCCGCCGATCCCGTGGGACTTGAGAGAGAAGCGCCAACCCACAAGTGCAAGCACTGGGGAAAACAGGTTTGAGCGCATCTGTTAGCCAGCGTGGGCCCTAAACGCTGAGCTGGTGTTTTGTGGAAGTTGGAATCGATGTTGCGGTCAGTGTGTGTGTGTGTGTTGCAAACTATAGCGTGAAAGCTATGCGGTTTCAGTTATGGTCGCGAAAGCTATGCGGTGGAAGCTACGTGTTGTACGAAAATTCGTGCCACAAAAGTATGATTGGAACTTGTAGTGGAAACCTTACCAAGCAAGCCATGTGGTGTACGCTACTTTGTGTAAGCCATGAAATGCAAGCAACGTAGTGTATTGCGTGAAGTTGAAGCTATGCGGTGTAAGCTATGTGGTTCAAGCTCAGCACGCGAGGCGCCCACGACCGCCCGTGAAGTGGCACGGGCTACATCGTTTTGCCACCTCGGCGGACCCACCAAGCGCATGGGGCGCCCACGAGCTCCAACGAGGTGACACGAGCGGCAACGTTGCGCAACTTCGGCGGACACACCCAGCGCACGGGGCGCGCACGACCGCCCACCGGGCGGCACGGGGCGGCAACGTGGGACCCTGAATTTCGACGGCGGATTTGTCAAACTTGTTAAGAAACGTGAGTAAGAACCCCTAAGTGCAAGCACTGCTTGGGGAATTTGTTTCGGTGTCGCGGGGACCAGGGAGCGGGGCTCGGGGAGGGGGGGGCATGGGCCAAGCCGGTGTGTGTTTCTGTGTGGCCCGTCGCCGTTGGGTCCCACATGCAAAACAGCATTACATAGGCATCTGAGGTGGGCCCTTCCTTTCGGTCTGAAGCGTGAACGCATGATGCCCGATGGGGCCGGGGATCTGTCGCCGCGGGGCCCAGCCGGGGCGCCAGCTCCAGGTCTCGCAGCATCGCATAGCGTTGTAATGTTTGCCAGCGTGGGCCCCAGTTTGTGAGCCAGTGCACTCCAGCTGTGTAAGTTGTGTGGTGGAAGCTACATGCTGCAATCTATGTGTATATATATATATGTACGTATGAATGGATGTATGGATGTATGCATATATATATAGTGTTGTTGGGCGAGTGGTGCAATCTATGTGGTGAAAACTGTGTGTGTGCCGTATGCTATGTGGTGCAACCTGTGTGGTGCAACGTATGTGGTGCAAGATGTCTGGTGCAAGGCGTATTAGTGCAACCTGTATGTTGCAACGCATGTGGTGCAAACTGCTTGGTGCCAGCTGCATGGTACAGCCAGCGTGCGGGGCGCCCCCTAGGCGCGCACGAGGTGCTCATGAGGCGCCCACGGGCGGCCACTGGGGGCGACCTTAGCGAACACCTGGAATCGTCAGCCAGCACACGGAGGTGCCGACGAGGCGCACACACGGGCGGGCACTGGCCTCGAGCTCGGCGAGAACCCAGAAGCGCCAGGGGGAGCCCACGGAGGTGCCCACGGGTGCAGACGCACTGCGAAAACCCGAAGCGCCAGCAAGCGCACGGGGAGCCAACAAGGCGCCAACGGGCGGCCACAGGCGGCGACCGCAGCTGAAACCTAGGATCCCGTGCCAGCGCACGCGGGGCCCACGAGGCGCCGACGGGCGGTGATCGTGACGACAACCCAAAAGACAATGCCAATCATCGAGAAGCCATGTAAGACACGCCAAGTGCAATGACGGTTTGGGGAAACGTGCGAGCTCGTTAAGGTGTAGGGGGTTGGATTCACAATAAGGACTGTAGGAATGAGGACATGCAACGCGTTGCACGAATAGTGCCATGCCTCCCCCGCCCTCCCCTGTTCTTCCAGTCCTCCTCCTCTGACCCCTTCCCCCGAATTCACCCTTCATGCCTTCTCCCTCCCCCCATCCACCAGGTTTGGTCCCATTTGCACGACATGTTCTTGTTGCGCGGATGCTACGAGGAGGAGGAGGAGGAGGAGGAGGAGGAGGAGGAGGAGGAGGAGGAGGAGGAGGAGAAAGAGGAGAAAGAGGAGGAGGGAGGAGGAGGACGGGGGAGGAGGAGGACGGGGGAGGAGGGGGAGGAGGAGGAGGACGAGGAGGAGGAGGACGAGGAGGAGGAGGAGGAGGAGGACGAGGAGGAGAAGGGAGGAGGTCATCGCCAGCTCGCTCAGGCGCCTTCGCCATCCCGCTTTGGCTCGAGCACCTGGGGCGCTCAGGGGGCCCCCTTGCAGGCGAACACCACAGGAGCTCGCGGCGCGTGGCCTGCCCCTGCGCAGGCACCGGGGTGGGGCGGAGGTGCAGCCTGTGCGAAGAGCGAGCACACAGAGAGGGAGAGCGATTTGTATAGATATATCTGTATATATATATATATAGAGAGAGAGACGATAAACAAAACAGAGAGAGAGAGAGAGAGAGAGAGAGAGAGAGCGAGTGATACCTTTCCCACCCAGCAGGTAGCCTTTCGAACAAGGCCTCGACCTGGAAATCGCCCGCGCCTGACCAGATAAGTATTGAGAGTCGACGCGCGGGCGCTCTGGCCGCATACACTCTGCAGGTGTCGTTGTTAGAAGGTCTGGGAGGAGTGTCAATGGAGAGGTCCGTGACCGTTTGCGCACGTGCATCTTTTGATGCCGTTGGCGTGGGCTCATCGGGGACGCTGCGTTTTTGATGCTTGCGATCTGAGGCAGGGGAGGAGGAGGAAGAGGAGGAGGGGGGGGGAGTATGAGGAAGAGGATAAGGGAAAGGCGGATGAGGCAAAGGAAAAAGAAAGATAATCAGAGGAGAAGGATGAGGGGAAGAAGGGGCTAAAGAGGACGGGGGGAAGGAACGGCCCTGCCCGCCAGCACATGGGAAGACATGCCCCAGGCATTTGGCCGCAGCGGGAAGCGGCGCGGCAGCTTCTCAGGACCAGCGCGGCCGTTGCGCGCCCGTTGCGACACGGCGCGCCGCGTCAAGAACGATGCGTGTGCAGATCTGGCCGAGTGCAGGCCCCTGTGGCGATCGGCGAGCTGCGGTCAGGAACTTCGGCTTGGTGTGCCACTCCACCAGGTCTGGCCCACCACGCTGCGGCACGAGACGCTGTTCACGCCCCAGTCCCCCGGCGTGAACGTCTGTAGTGTTTCGAGGTCCCCCTGCCCACGGAGCGGAGCGGAGTCACACGCTATCCGCTTGCACGGCAGCACGTGTCTGTCGCAGGGGCCGCCGCGGCGACACGCTAAGCCGAAGTCGCCGACCGTATGTCAGCCAGTGGCAATGTGGACGCGCGACATGGTATGCACGTCGAGAACCCGTCCATGCGCAGCACCACCAGCACCGCACCGTCGGTCCGCGTCGTTGCCTCACGCCTTCGGCCGTTGTGGGCGCCGCTCGCGGAGGGCGGGCGGTTACTGAGGGGGGACGGCGGGAGGGAGGCTGGGAGGCGGGGAGGGTTCCTCGCCGCGCTGGGGCACGGCTCGAGCCGCTGGGAAGGGGGCCCAGGCACCCCAGCGCGATGCCGAGCGCCGTCGGGAAGACCAGCACGCTCGGCCGAGCAGGGCGGGGACGTGCGGGTGCCCTCTCCGCGTGCCATTTGCCATCGGCAGCGGGCGAATGCTTTCGGGCAGGTCCCCGCCCGGGCCCTGGCCGATCTGCCCGCGGTGAGCGAGCCCAGGCCTCCCAGACAGCTTGCGTCTCGGAGGGACGCGCCGCATCGCCCATCGCCGGTGCATCGGCGATGCGGCTCGATGTGCAGCCCGATGTTCTCCCGTGCCGACGTCGCCGATGCATCGCTGGCGTCGCCGATACACCGACGATGCATCGCCGATGCATCGACGATGCGGCGCGGTCCGCCGACCCCATTTGCTCGGACCCCGTTTTGGAGGCCTCCAGCGTGACGGGCAGGCCGTCGGATGGTCTTCCAGGTCCTCCTCGAGAGGGCCAGCCCTGCAGACCCCTTGGTGACCGCAGCCATCCCGCTTTCGTGCCGAGAGCCACAGGAAACCACAAGAAACCGACGAAGCACGCCGAAGATCGCAAGAACACCGCCAGACGACGCCGAAGAGAGCCCGCTGAACGCCGAAGACTGCCGACGAGCGCCCGAGGCAGATGGGCAGCAAGGGGTCCATGGTCGGGCAAGTCATTTCGCTGTCGTCTCCCTCATCGACGTTGCTCAATTTCGCTCGCGATCCTGGCCAGCGCCCCGATCAGCATTGCCCAGCCACTCTCTGCGTTAAGCAAGCATCAGCGGCGAGGGGATGAAGACGATGCAGGTCGACGAGTGTTGCCCCCCTGCGCCTGCACACCTCCACGTGAGCTGCGCCGCCGGGAAGGATGGCCTCCGCCAGTGCGCGGTAACCGCATCCTCTGCACGGGACGCCCCAGGAGAGGCCTCGCCTCGGACGCCTCGGAGGGCCGATCCCTTCGCTTCGGCGGAGGGCGGCCAGAGCCGGCGGAGGCAAAATGAATAGGGGGGGGCTCCGCTGGTGGGGGCGAGCAAGAGGCCCGCGGAAGGCGGCGGAAGGAGAAGGCATCCCCCCGGGAGGGAAGCCGGCGCCCGCAGACCTGGGGGTCCCGGAGTTGACCACATGTCCCGTACATGATTGCCTTGGAGGAGGAGGAGGAGGAGGAGGAGGAGGAGGAGGAGGAGGAGGAGGAGGAGGAGGAGGAGGAGGAGGAGGGAGGAGGGAGGAGGAGGAGGAGGAGGAGGAGGCGGAGTTTATTGATCTGGTCCGCTGCGGTGGACGACAAGTGTTCGGGTGCCGTGGGGGGTGTCGCTGTGTCTCCAGCCTACAGGCAGGGTGCACTGCATGACTGGAGTAACTATTGTGGGTTTCAGTTCGCTTTTGGCCCCTGCGATTCCATCATGTTGGTATTTCTCTGTGTGTGTGTGCGGCGGCGGTGACAATAATGGCTGGACGGCGGAGTACTAGAATGGGGAATATGTGCATCATATCCTGTAGAAGGCAACTTTCGATCAATATCACGAGGAAGTATTCGGTAACAAGACCTTCCTCATACATGAAAGCAATGGTTGAATCACCTCTTTGTAAAGCTCGCTCAAACATGTTACACTTGGCAGGTCGCAGAAGGAGGCGGTTTGCACATCCTGTCCCTCGAAAGGGGCTCGTCTGCAATGCCCACGGAAACGAATTATATTTCGCAGTTATTGCGATGCCGTGCTGATGTTTTTAAGCTCGTTTCGCACACGATACATGCATACATATACTTATATGTATATATTTATGTGTATATATATATATATATATGTCTTTGTCTAGCTATTCATGTCATTTGTTATTTCTCTCTCTCTCACTGTCCCTTTAAAACTCACTCTTGCCTCTCCATGGTTTTTCCTGGACATTGCAGGCTACGTGCGCCAGTGATCTTGATGTGCAGGCCTGTGCTCCGGCACGCGCAGGAACTATATGCTCTGAGTACGCTTTGCCGTCCGCGGCTTCTTCTCCTACGCCCGCGCCCCTCCTTCCCTTGCTATGGCCAACGAGGCCCCGTACAGCTCTTCGGCTACCTCGGACCGCGGCGAGGATCCGCGCCGCTGCGACCAACGAAAACGCCCGCGAGCTGTGCATAGGGGAGGCAGTTCAGTGCCGCGAACAACGGCCTGCCATCGGTCGACGTGGGCATGAGCAACCTGGGGAACCGCGTCGGCATCACCGATGTGATGATGGGCAGAACCGCCAGGGCGCCGTTGGCCAGAGGAGGAGGACGAGGAAATGGAAGGAAGAGGAGGAAGAGGATTAGGAAGAAGATGCTTATGAGGAGAAAGATGAGGAGGAGAAGTTGGAGGAGGAGCAGGAGGAGGAAGCGGAGGAGGAGGAGGATTGGGAGGAGGACCAGTATAAACCAAAGACTAACCAACGATGTTACAATACACCCTCCCTCCAAGCTCCCTCTTCATAGGCCCCAACAAGGGTCCATACTCACTGAGGGAAGTGCCCCTTTGGAAGGTGACCGTTTGAAAATCCCGAACCGTGTCAGAGCATCACCCTTCGGATGCCAACACCACGAATCAATCTTATTGTTGCGTCTTGGCGATTTTGCATCTTGACGGACCACCGGTCCTGGGACTTCAACACCGCGAGTCAAGGTAAATGTTGCACCCTGACGGTCCTACATTGTCGAGAAAAAACAAGTTCCCTCGGACATTTCACCCTGAGGCTCCGTGGGCTTGCTGTAAACAGTTAAGACGAATGTGCGCGGCGCTATGGCCAGAGCCACGTTTTGAAAACGACGCGCCCTCCATCCGCAAAACCTCCACAACCTGTGACGACGCGTGTGCGCGGCGCCAAGGGGAGAGCCACAGTTTGGGAAGGAATCGCCCTCCATCCGTGAAGCTCTTGCACCTTTGAATGACGAGTACGCGCGGCGTTAAGGCTAGAGCCACATCTTCAAAACGGCTCGCCCTCCATCCGTGACATTTTTGCGAAGTGTTAAACAAAAGTGCACGGCACTGAAGCGAGAGCTTCCATTTGAAAACGCCATGAAGCCATCGGCAGTCTCACTAGGGACTCTGTTTCAGTCTTCTGCTCCCCCAGAATTTCGTGATTATTTTTGGTTGTCTTGCGTTTTCATGTGCGAAAGAGCGTGTTCTACCGCTGCTGGCAGAAAACCGGGGGGGTCACTGGGGGTTCCCAACCCGTCCCCCCTTCGAAAACTGGGGGGGTCACTACCGGTTCGACTCCCCCCCAGTCCATCATGAAAAGGGATGGAGTTCACTGTTCGAACCCCCCCCCCTCGAAAACCGAGGGGGGGGGTCACTACCGGTTCGAGACCCCCCCCCCTTTGCCGCCAGCAAACGATTCCCGCTCCTCGGGACAGTTGGACAATGGTGGGGATATTGTGGTGGGAGGGATGGTGGTGGGGACAGTGGTGCAGGGACAGTGGGACAGTGGTGCGGACAGTGGTGGGGACGGTGGTGGTGGGGACAGTGGTGAGGGGACAGCGGGACAGTGGTGGGGACACTGAGACAGTGGTGGGGACGGTAGTGGTGGGGACAGTGGTGAAGGCGGTGGTGAGGACAGTGGTGGGACAGTAGTACAGTGGGGAGAGTGGTGGGGACAGTGGGGACAGTGGGACGGTAGTGGGGACCGCGGGGAAAGTGGGGAGAGTGGGACCGTGGTGGGGCATTGGTGGGGAGAGTGGGGACAGTGAGACACTGGCGGGGGCACTGGTGGGGACAGCGGGGACAATGGTGTGAACAGTGGGGACAGTGGGACAGTGGTGGGGACTGCGGAACAGTGGTGGGGACGGTGGTGGTGGGGACAATGGTTTGGGGACAGGGGGACAGTGGTGTGGGGACACTGGGATAGCGGTGGGGACAGCGGCGGTAGGGACAGTGGTGAGGGCGGTGGCGAAGACGGCGGTGGGACAATGAGACAGAGGTACAGTGGGGACAGTGGTGGGAACAGTGGGACAGCTCAGTGGGACAGCGGCGGGGACAGTGGGACAGTGGGATGGATCGTGGGGACAGTGGGACAGTGGTTGGGGCCGTGGGAAAGTGGGGAGAGTGGGACCGTGGTGGGAACAGTGGTGGGGGCAGTGGGAACAGTGCGACAGTGGTGGGGGCACTGGTGGGGACAACGGGGACGGTCGTGGGAACAGCGGGGACAGTGGTGGTGAGGACAGTGGTGCTGGGGAGAGCAGGTGGGGGATGTGGCGCGGACGGTGGTAGGGACCCGGGAGTCGTCTGCCAGCGGTGAGCGTGGGGGGGGGAGGGGTTCGAACCGGCAGTGATTCCCCTTCGGTTTTCTGGAGGGGGGGGTCTCGAACCGGTAGTGACCCCCCCCCGGTTTTCTTGGGGAGGGGGGTTCGAACCGGTAACCCCCCCGATTTTCCGGAGGAGGGGGGGGAGGGGCGTTCGAACCCCTTAGTGGCTCCTCCCAGTTTTCCGGAGGGGGGGAGTATAGTGACCCCCTCCAGTTTTCAGGAGAGGGAGGGGGTGGAGGGGGGGGGTGCCGGAGGAATACAGGGGGGGGGAGCGGGGGGGACCAGCAGGGGGGGGGGGGTATTTTCGGGGGGGGGGGGGCCGGGCTACGGAGGAAGAGGGGGGTGGAATTTTCCACAGTAAAGCGGCGGTGGATCACGATCTCTCTCATGTACAGATGCTGGCCTGTGCATGGTTGCCCTGTCTTTTGCTTCGCGGCGGTGGCTGTTCTCGACGGCCCCGCCGTGTGCCGTCGTGCTGGCCGCGCGCCTTCGATGTCGTCTGCGCGGCCCACGCGCTTTGCTGTGGGCATAGATCTTGGCTGACCAGAGGCCAGTCGCACGCGCGTGCGCACTGGGGGCGCAACAACCATTGATCATCACACATCCTCCCCGGCCCTTCCCCCGCGTACGCAGGCGGTGGGTAGCGCTGGGGCCCAGGCGACGGCAGCCCTGGGAGGCGGACGACGCGATCGTGGCCGCTGCCGTGGCCTCCCCCGCGGCAGAGAGCCACCGCGACGCGCCGCGCGGCTAGCGGCGCGCAGCGGCCGGCCGCGGCCGCAGCGGCGCGGGTGCTCTTCGCTGGCGGCGGCTGGCACGCCCACGTTGCCTCCCAGGATCCTGGTTTGGCGGCGGGCCTGCGCCGCGGGTGCTGGGCGCCGCGGTGTGGGGGCGCCTCGCGAGCCGGCCTTGCGGCCGGCGCGTCCCGGTCCTGCCGCCGAGGGCGGCCTGATTGCTGCTGCTCCCAGCGGCGCGGGCGGGGGGGCCTGACGATGAGAGACGCGCGGCCTTGCAGGCGCGCCTGGCCGAGTGCCCCAGCGCGCCTGAATTTGGTGCGCGGCCGCGCGCGGGGCCCCAGGCTCCCCGGAAGGCGCCCCCGCTGTGCGCGGCCGCAGGCCAGTCGGTGCGTCGGCGCCCGTGGCCTCGTCGTTTCCCCCTTTCCCCTTTTTTTTTGTTGTTGTTTATCTCTCTATCTCTCTGCCTCCGCCGCTGGGCTTCGCATGGATGTCAGAAAAAGTGCGGGCCTGGCCCTTCTCCAGAGGCTCCGCTCGCGGCCGCCCAAAGCGCCGATTCGGGTTCGCGGCCCCGCCCCGCCCCGAGCCCACTAGCGAACCCGCAGGCCGGCAAGGAGGGGAAAGCAGAAGCGAAGCGCAGGAGAGGAGAGAAAGAGGAGGGAACGGGGGGCAAGGGGGATTAGGCTGCAATGTCAGCAAGGACGAACATCAAGATGTGGAAGGCCAGGGTCGGGGAGGATGTGTGATGATGATGGTGATTGTTGCGCCCCCCACGCGCACGCTCGTGCGAATGGCCTCAACTCCAGAAGCAATTTTGGGGAGGCCACAGACTGGCATAGAGTCCCCAGTGAGCTTGCCGTTGGCTTTGTAGCGAAAGCCGACAGTTGTCCAGGCCGTGCGCGTGCGTTCGGCGCGCCTGGCATCATCGAAACATGATGTGCGGTGACGCACTGGTCGCGCACGTGATCCACGTGGAAAAATGTGGGGTGCTGTAGAAAAAAATGGCGTCAACTTGCCGTTATTGCCGTGACAAAAAGTTCAAGGTTCAAGACTCATGGATGGTGAAGAACTCTCAGGCGAAACGCCCTGACCGTCCAACCGACACGTTTCGGGGTGCGACGGGGGGAGTTATTTATGAGGCAAGGGAACGGACGATGAAGGAGAAGAGGAGGACGTGGAGGAGGGGGAGGAGGAGGAGGAGGTGGAGGAGGAGGAGGAGGAGGAGGAGGAGGAGGCGCGGAGGGGAGGATGAGGAGGAGGAGGAGGAGGAGGAGGAGGAGGAGGAGGAGGAGGAGGAGGAGGAGGAGGAGGGGGAGGAGGGGGAGGAGGGGGAGGAGGAGGGAGAGGAGGAGGGGAGGAGGGAGGAGGAGGAGGGGGAGGGATGATGATGATGATGATGCTGATGATGATGATGATGATGATGATGATGATGATGATGATGATGATGATGATGATGAGGTGAGGATGAGGATGAGGATGAGGATGAGGATGATGATGATGATGATGATGCTGCTGCTGCTGCTGATGATGATGATGATGATGATGTGATGAGGATGAGGATGAGGATGAGGATGAGGATGATGATGATGATGTGCTGCTGCTGCTGCTGCTGCTGATGATGATGATGATGATGATGATGATGATGATGATGATGCTGCTGCTGCTGCTGCTGCTGCTGATGATGATGATGATGATGATGATGATGATGATGATGATGATGATGATGCTGATGCTGCTGCTGATGATGCTGATGCTGATGCTGATGCTGATGCTGATGCTGATGCTGATGCTGATGATGAGGAGGAGGAGGAGGAGGAGGAGGGGGATGATGATGATGATGATGATGATGATGATGATGATGATGATGATGATGATGATGATGATGATGATGAGGAGGAGGAGGAGGAGGAGGAGGAGGAGGAGGAGGAGGAGGAAAGGAGAAGGAGGACGAGGAGGAGGAGGAGGAGGAGGAGAGCCGAAGGAGGAAGAGGAAAGCCGCGGGAGGAGGAGGAGGAGGAGGAGGAGGAGGAGGAGGAGGAGGAGGAAAAAGAGGAGCAGGAGCAGGAGCAGGAGAAGGAGGACGAGGAGGAGGAGGAGGAGGAGAGCCGAAGGAGGAGGAGGAGGAAAGCCGCAGGAGGAGCAGGAGGAGGAGGAGGAAGAGGAGGAGGAGGAGGAGGAGGAGGAGGAGGAGGAAAGAGGAGGAGGAGAAGGAAAGAGGAGGAGGAGGAAGAGGAGGATGAAGAACGCGTCGTCATCCTGCAAGATGTGCCTGCGCTGCCTGGGATCTCCTCGACCGCTTTGAGAAGGCCGGGGCAAGCGGGCCCTTGTTTTGCTTTGGGGCGCGTCGCTCCGCGACGCTGCTTCCCTGCTTGTCGTTTGCGTTTTCTTCTCTTGTTTTTCTCGTCGGGTGGTGCGCTTCGCGTCCCGAACGGTCCTCGGGAACCGACACCCGCGCCCGCGTCCGCTGGCGCCGCCGGTGAAACGTAAGCACAGCAGGTTGCACGTCGGGCAAATCTCTGGCTGCATCGCCGCAGCACCAAGCAGGGCAGCCCCAGTGAGCCCGCCGCCCGCCCCCCGCCGGTGGGAAACGTCAGGGCGTCGGGGGCTTCAGGGGGCCCGAATCCTCCCCCTCGGGAGGGGAGCGGGCTGATCCGATCTGTTGCCAGGGTCCCTCGTCCTCACGCACGAGCCCGCATCCTCCTCCAGGGGGCTTCCCTCCTTCCCCCGGGGGGGCTGCTGCCGTGTTCCGCTCCGGGGCCTCAAGGGGCTTTCCAGGGCCTTCGGGGGGCTATACCCGCCGCGCAGAGGCCCTGACGCCCTGCAAGGCCCTGTGGCACCAAGTGGCGGGCAAGGGCACGGAAGTTCCCAGGGGCGGGTGTCGCTCCGCTTTTTCCGCTCCAGGCCCCAGGAGGAGGAGGAGGAGGAGGAGGAGGAGGAGGAGGAGGAGGAGGAGGAGGAGGAGGAGGAGGAGGAGGAGGAGGAGGAGGAGGAGGAGGAGGAGGAGGAGGAGGGGGAGGAGGCGGAGGAGGAGGAGGAGGAGGAGGAGGAGGAGGAGGAGGAGGAGGAGGAGGAGGAAGAGGAGGAGGAGGAGGGCGCTCAGCTGTGTGACTGACGTGCGGGTCAGCATTCGGACTCTGCGGCGCCTCACCCTTGCGCCTCCCCCGGCGCGCCCCGCTTCTTCTTCTTCTTCCCCTCGCGCCGCCTGCCCACCCGTCGATCTCTTTGCCGTGGCCCGTGGCCAGAGCTTTGCACTCCCCATGAGATCCGATGCTCCGAATAATATTCGGTGTCCCGTTTTTGACCAGTTTCGGCTTCCAGGGGCCCTCAACGAGCCCAGGGGCCGTCCAAAATCAAATCAGCATGAAGAATAATCAGTGTTCGGTCCAGACCTCTGGGGGTGCCCACGCCTCGAAAAGATTGGAGCGTTGGATGTCTGGATCGGGGCCCACAGAAGCAGCTCCCGGACGGTGCTGGCGTGGCCTTTCTCGAGGAGCGAAAAAACGGGATAGGCCTCAAGTGTTAGTTCCGCGCGGATTTCTTGTATCTGCGCTGCGCCCCCCCGGCGACGCCTCCAGCGGCGCCCAGGACGATCTCAGAAATCCGCGCAGACCTCCGAGATTCGGTATTTATGCAGGTGTTCCTTCTTCGATATTCGCGTTGCCAAAGGTCTGCTTCAGCCCCCTCCACGTCCCTCATTTTGGATGCAACTCCTGGGAGGTCAAATTCTGGCTTTGCCCTGGTCCGAAATTCGTCTTACGTAATCCCACTTAATCCACCTTAGGCCCGCGTAATTCGGCTTAGTCCCGCTTAATCCGCTGCTCAATCCCGCGTAGCAGCCCCCCAATGGGGCCTAACGCTCCTGTGTCTTTCCAGCGAAGACCTCCCAGCAGTTGCCTCCTAACCCCATCCCGGCGCCAGGGGCGCGCTAACCAGGCGCAGGCGGCATGGAAGAGGGGCCAGGCCCCCCCCTGCGCCCGCCGCCGCCGTTCCGTTGCCGTCGCCGACGCCGTCGCCGCCGCCATCGTCGTCGTCGTCGCTGTCGCCGTTGTCGTCACCGTCGTCGTCGTCGCCGTCGTCGTCGTCGTCGTCGCCGTCGCCGTCGCCGTCGTCGCCGACGTCGTCGTCGTGGGCTTCCCAACGGAGCGCTGGCACAAGAGATCCGTGCGGGCCGTCGGAAGTTTCTGTCTGCGCTGCGGGCATCCAGAGTGCATAAAGCAGAAGCACGACTGGCCGTTTTGCCCTGCCTCGGGCCTGCTTGCCCTGCCTGGTCTCTTTGCTTCGGGTCTGTTTGCCTGTCTGGCCGCACTTTGCCCCATCGCGGTCCCAGGCGCCTTTTGGCCTTGTCTGGGGCCCAGGGGCATTTTGCCCCCTCTGAGGCCCGGGGGCCCGAGCGCATCAGGTCGGTCTTGGGGATTCTATCTCAAGAGAGGGCCGAGGGCTCTTGTTATGGTGCTTCGCAGGCGCGTGCGCTTTTTCCATGAGGCGTCGGCTCTCAGACGCCCCCCCATGCTCGTCGTCCGCACAGCATGGAAGGTGACCGCCAGGCGTTCCTGCTACGCGTGGCCAGGTCTTGCCTCACTCTTGATCGCTTTGCTCGTCTCGTGCTTTTGATGTCTCTTTTCCAGGGTGTTGCCGAAGAAATCCGGCCTTTCCGGTGCACCCGAGCACGGACCCCACCTTGGCATCAGTCGCCCTTCGCCTACGGGCGAGCGGGGACCGCCCCAAGCACGGCCACGCCCCCTCGGCGCGTGGTGCCTTCCCGCGACGGCGGGCGACTCGGGGCTGCCGGCGCGCGCACACACACACCAAATCCACGAGCAGGTCTAAGTCCACACACGCCGAGTCCCTTGAGATCCGACGTTGCGAAGCAGACTGCAGTATTGCAGTACATCACGACCAGAGCCCCGGACCCCACCTGTCTGCGTCCTTCTTCGAGCCGGATCCCTCTACGAGGGCCCCCGGGCCCGAAACCGTTCGACAACGCCCGGCTCGAGCAAAAATGCGACGCCAGGATCTCACGCGATCGTCCTCGGCACAAGCATTGAGTCAGGCGTGTCCCTCTACAGGGGGAATACTCAGAAATAGTAAAGAAATAGTGCGGGTACCAATTTTTGATAGTTTGTGGGCACTTTTGGTGCACTTTTGGGGTTTTATTTGTTGGTCCCAAATCCGCCTGCAGGGGGAGAGGCCCGACCCAACACACGAGCATCAGGACCACGAGGTCGGCACGCCTCCCCGCCCACGCGCTGCTCCGAGCGCAGGGGCCGGCGCCCGCGGCGGGCCTCTCCGCACGGCGGGGCAGCCCCAGCCTGCGCGCCCCCGTCCCGCGACCCTCCGGAGTGCAACAAACACACAGAGACACAGCTCTCATCGTCGATGCCCCAGAACATGGGGGAAGCTATGGGCAGTGGGGGGGAAGACAGAGACCCAGAACACATGGGGGAAGTATGGGGAGTCCTGAAGTGTTTGTGTGCCCTTGTTTGTGTGTCCCAGGGCCCCTTCAGACCCGCGCGGGTCGCTCCGCCCCGTGCCCGACCCCATCGGGAGGGGACACCACACACAACCGCAAAATGGACCGTCGATCCCCAGGGAAAGTCCTTCGAACGTATGGGACGTCGGGGGGAAGACGAGATGACCCCGAAATTGTAGAGAAAATATGGGGGCTCCTGGGATTCCGTGTGTGTTGAGTGGTGGGTCTTTGGGCCCCTTCACCCCCCACGGCCCGCTGGCGACCCGCCGACGACCCGCTGGCGATCTGCGCCCTCAGTGCCCTGAGTTCCTGGCGTCGCCATTTTTTCGAGCTATGGACGTTGTCGAGCAGTTTCGGGCCCCGGGGCCCTCGTAGATCGATCTGGCTCGAATAATGACGCAGAAAGATGGTGTCCGGGGCTCTGGTTGTGATTTCTTGCGATGGTATGATGTTTTCCAACGTCGGATCTTATGGGACCGTGCCCCCTGGTAACCCGTGCCTGCTCACTGTTGTCCACAGCACAGCGGCGATGCACATGCACGCACGGTACAGTCCAGGCGTTGAAATAAGGACCGCTTTGGGTTCGGATGGGTTCGTTGTTCCTCGGGTCATTCGGGGGTTGCCCTTCCAGCCCTCCTCGTGCACCCGGGTGCGTTTGGTGCTGGCCATGCATCGTCATTCGTGGCCATCCTTATCAGTCTCCTTGTCGTGGCCATGCCCGTCCCTTGATTCGAAGATTCGCAGACCAGGGGCACAGCTGCATTATTATCATGTGCAGTGATAGCTCGTCCTCGTGCAAAGCATACGGTGCAGAGCATACAGTGCATATGGAAGGATTGCAGCTTTGAGTGACCAGGGCTCCCCTCCTCCCTCGAAATCTGAGGAGGTGGGTCTGGAGCAGTATATGTAGAGGCTGACATCCCAAACGCCCCGATGTCGCTGCTGGCTGTCCTTTCTAAGACGCGGAGCTCGAGCTCGACCCCACAGAGTCCAGGCCCCGAGTGTCTTGGCCAGGCCTTCCCTCAGCGGAGGGAGAGGTCACGGTAGATGATGCTGCTGCCAGCTTGAGTCAGAATACACAGCTTGGACTTGTGGCGGAGTCGCTCAGAGAAGAGGATGATGACGCCCCGCCGGTTCCAGCCGAGACGCCTTCTGGGACAGAGTTGGGTTCGGGCTAACTTTCGGCTCACTGTGAGGGTCCCTGTGTCGGGAGGCCTGCACTGGGCCTCTGGCACCCCAAGCGAATCCACTCGGGCAGTGTAGGGCTGGTCGTCGCTGGTCCTCGCTCAGGCGCAGGCCACTGCTGCAACTTCTGGTGTCTTTTCGCCTCATCACAATATCCGCGTGCTTGGCTGTCGCCTTGTTCCTCAGAGTTGAGTTCGGGGCGGCTGTTTGGAGCGCCGCTCGTGACGCTTCGTGCCTCGATGGTGTTCAGTCGGTGAGGTGATGACCAGGCCAAGGTGTGCTGTGGGACTGTCACTCTCTTGCGTGGGCCATCGCAGCCTTGGCCTCCTGGCTTTGGTCGCCTAACACAACCATGGCGTCTGAGTTCGCAATGTCTCTCCTCAGCCGTCTTCTGCGATGAAGGCTGACTTGGCCAACCGTGCCTAGGCCTCAAAACTGACAGCAGAGCGCGCCGCGCCTCTTGCGATTAAGAAGCAAGTGGCTGAAACGGAAAGAAGACGCGGGTGCCAAAAAGGGGGCTTCGCTCCTCATGCATCGGTTCTTCTTTCAGGGGCCCCGGTGTAGCCCGCGCAGCGCAGGCGCGGCCTGGGGCGGGCGGTTATAGGCTCGGAACAGCAGCTACAGGTGTCACCTTTCATAAATCGGCCTTCCAGCAGGTGGCGCGCGGACATCTTTTATCCCCCGATGGCCCAGGGACGCACCTGGGTCCCTCAAAGGTCGACGAAGACGGTGCCCAAGGATCACCCTTCGCAAGATTTCTCGTTCGTACGTGCCTGCAGTAAGCCACAACTCTGTCGACGGCGCAGCTCGGCTACTGAGGCGTGAACTCAAATCAAGCCAAGAGCCCGCCGCAGCTTTCTTGTAGACTCCATTTTGCCAGGCGGCCCAGCCACGGGCGCCCCCCCGCGGGGCCCCGTGGTGACCGGCCTCGGGCCCCCGGAGGCCCCGGGCCACCCAGATACATTGGCACAGTGCTTGCCAGTGTGGACCCCAAGCAGTCAGTTGCTGCACCATGGAATTGGAGGCTACGCGGTGCAAGTTGTGTGGTGTAAGCTGCGCGGCGCAATGTATGCGATAGAAGCTATACGGTGCACGCTAGGTGGTGCAACCAATGTGGTGCAAGCTGTGTGGTGAAATCTGTGTGGTGTAAGCTATGCGGCGCAGGCTGAAGGGTGAGCGATATGCGGTGAAGGCTGCGCGGTGTAATACAATGTGGTGCAAGCTGTGTGGGTCAAGCTGTGTTGTGTAAGCCATGTGTGTCAAGTTATGTGGTGCAGGCTGTTCAGCATAAGTTATGTCGTGCACTCTATGCGGCCGCGCAGCACACGAAGCGCCCACGGACGGACACCATGCGAAACCTGGGCAGACGCGCCAAGCGCACGAGGCGCCAACGAGGCACCCCTCGGCGTGCGCCAGGCGAAACCTCTGCACACCCACCCAGCGCACGATGCGTTCCATCAGCGCCCATGGGCGGGCATCAGGCGAAACCTCGGCACACCGACCCTGCGCACGAGTTGCCCACGAGCGGGCACAAGGCAAGACCTCGGCACACCCACCCAGCGCACGAGGCATCCACGAGGCGGGCACATGGCGGAACCCCGGCACACCCACCCAGCGCACGAGGCGCCCACGAGGCGCCCACAAGCGCCCACGATCGGGCACCAGGCGAAGCCTCACCCACCCAACACGGGACGCCCTCGAGGCGACAACGGGCATCCACCAATTGGAAGTACTTCGCAGCTCAAGAGCTGGCGTCTCCGTTGGGCCTGGTGGCGGCGGCGATCGACTTGATATGGGGGTTCGTGGGCGGCAACCTCCCGCTTCGACGTTTCTGTCCACGATCGGCGATGCCTGCCTTGTCTTCTGTTCCTCTTCGTCCGTCTCATCGTCTCTTCCTGCTGCCGTAACTCTGTTGGCTCAAGCTCGCCACCACTCTCGCTATCCTGGGTAGCGAGCGGCGTCTGCCTGGCGCAACCGGTCAGGCTTGCCCTGTCAGCATGGGGGTCGCTCCTCGACACTATGCTGAGGGAGAAGGCCAGCGCACAGCCTTCGTCCTCTCGTGTGCGCTTTGGTTCGCGATGAGTGGCTGTGTCTTGTTGGTCCGCGCGGCGATGTGGTTCCAGCGCAACCGACCCGTACGTTTGACGCTACCTGGTCTTGGTTCCATGGCGAGGCGGTGCCGAGCTACCTTGCTCTTGATTGCAGGCGCTCAGGATGCCAAGGTGGTCGAAGAGTTGCAGAGGAGACGGCTGGTTCGAGCTCGCACTCTGGGTCCTTACATTCAGTTGGGCATCACCATTCTTCTCGGTGCAACCTTCGCCAGAGTCGCAAGTCCCGACGATCGGGTGGCGTCTCAAACTATGGACATCGCCTGGATTATGGGTTGCTACGCGAACCTTTTTGCGTGGGCTTTCCCGCAGTTCCTGACACTCAGAGCACTGGACATCTGGTTTTCGGTGAAGAGCGCATGCCTCGCATTGTACGTCTCGCCTCTCGCAATGCAGGGATCCTTCGCCCCGTCCTTTGATTTTGTGGCGTTTATGGTCTTCATCGTGTTGAGCTTGGAGAATGGGAACGTTCGGTTGAACATTGCGTGGCTGCTGGTCATCACGCTCTCGATGTGGAGCACGATCGTCCTTGACCCTGCTTGGGTAGATCCCGACCGATCCTCACTCCACGTCCTCCTGCGTGCGTCCGACCGCTCCTCGCACCACGTCCTTGTGGGTGCGATGCTCGTGGCCCTGGTCATGCTGGCGTTCCAGAAGTCGCTGTCCATGGTCGTGATCTACGAGCTGGAGGCGAACACCTCGAGGAGCGAGCTGGAGGCCGCGCGCTCGGTGCTGAGGGCCGTCTGCGACGTGACGGTGGAGCTCGACGCTGCCCTCCGGCTTCAGGACGAGAGCCCCGCGCTCGTCGACATGTTGATGCTGAACCCTGGGCGTTCCTGGCCGGGCACGGACCTGAGGTTGACGGGCCGACTTTCCACCACCACCACCACCACCATAGGTAGGAGAGGGAGGAGGAGAAGGAGGAGGAGGAGGACCTCTCCGACCTCCCTTCTTCCCCCGTCCTACACATGGTAGCGATGGTGGAAGATTGGCCCATCAGAGGTCATTCTTGGCCTCCGAGCAGGACCGCCAGAAGTTCTCGGAGCAGATGGGCCGCGCGTTCGCCACAGGGAGCGACTCCTCGGGACTGTGCGCGGCGTTCCACGTGTGCATGAAGGACGGCTCTGGCATACCTCTTGACGTTGAGGTGTTCGGCGTGGGCTTCGCCAATCGGAGGGGCGAGCCTGCGTACTTTGTCGGCATCCGCGAGTTCACCGACACTTGCCCTCTCCTGGAGGGCAGCACAGTGGTTGGCACCCATGCTGGCAGGCGTGGGCACCGCCAGGATGCCCTGGGCGCGCACGGAGGGAGCGCCCGCCAGGACGTGCCGATAGCCAGCTCCAGCTCGCTGGCGCAGGGCGAGGCGGAGGACCCTCCAGCGGCGGGCGCGGCGGCCTGGGTCGAGGTCCTCACCCGGGGCTACAGCGTGCGGTGCGCCGCACCCGCGTTCACGCACCACGTGGACGCCAACGGCCAGTTCCTGAGCGCGCTCAGCCAGTCCCAGCGGTTCGACTTCATCTCCTGGGTGCAGGAGGCCTACCCCGCCCTCGTGGAGGACGGCTCGGCCTCGGCCCGCAGAGAGTACCACAGTCGGCTGCACTTCAGGCGCCCCTCGCTGGCCGCGGCCAGCGCGGCGCAGCCGCTGCGGGTGGTGACCTCGGCCCTCGTGCAGCTCGACCTGTCGCCGCCTCCGGGAGAGCAGCGCTGCAGCGACGGGCTCGCGCGCATCGCCCTCTGGGACTTCAGGAGCGTCCGAGGCCGGGGGAGCGCCAACTGCACTCCGGCTGCCCTCGGCTCCGGCCACGCTCGGGGAGGGGCACCGCTCAGGGGAGGATCTGCTCAGGGGAGGGACCTCCAATCACGCATCAATCGTCGACACATGGCCAAGTATGCCCACTCCGCCCGGGCCGTTCGGATCTGCCATGGGGGGCCTGTCACCGATCCATCGGCGATGCATCGCCGATTCCAAGTGCCGCCCTCGGCGTTGTCCAGTTGCGACAGACGGCCGCCTGCCCAACCGCGGCCGCTGTCGGTTTTGGGCAAAACCTGTTGTTGTGCATCGTACCCATGTCTCCGAACCCGATTCAGGCGTTCACCTTTGAGGGAGGGGCACATCCTGCAGACCTCCAGCGCAGATTTGGAACATAATCAAGGAGAAGGTTCTTCCCCTTCTGGGCTTCTGGGAGCCCTCGCCGGGGGCCCAGGGACCTCTAATAGTTCTTCGGGACGGAAGCCGGGTCCCCAGTCGGGCGATCGCAAACATGGATCAAGGGGGCGTGGATTAGCGACGGGTCCCGTTTCCACCAGAAATCGTGGATTTCCGCCGCCGGGCGAGGCGGCACCGGCCGCATTTTGGAGAGGACGCTTCCCCCGATCCATGGATTTGGTGACCGCGCGCCAAATCCATGGATCGCTAATCCATGCTTGCGCGCCCACGAGTTGTCGGGCCCTGGGGTCATCAACAATAGATCCGGGAGGCAAACAGACCTGCGGGCAGGTGTCGGGACCTCTGAGGCCACGGATTCGACAAATCAGATTGGCGGACGTTTGGGGAATTACAGCGCCACATCGATGCAGTCTCCCTTCCCTGTCGTTCCGAAGCGGGCGGGGTGCATTCACAGCCACCGCCCCTAATCAAAGGGGTCGATCTTCGGGGACCTCGGCAGGCGGCGGAGATGCCATATCCACATCTGAGGTCCACATCTGCCATGCCCAATGTATCCATGTATCCATATCCGATGTGGGTGCATTGAGGCACTCCTGGGTCCCGATATGGCGATTTATTTGGGCACCCCTGGGGCCCAGAAGTGCCAAATACCCACTGCCCCTGGGGTTCCAGGACTTCGCTTCCATAGGCGGCTGGTATGGATAATCCCTAGGCTGGCACTTTGCGCCCATTTTCGGGGGCCCTGGTCATCACAGGCCCCGAAATATTGGTCAAAGCGAGGCCCGGGAGGCGTCCTGGGGAGCAGCGTTTTTTGGGGGGCGGCCAGGAGGGGGATGATGACTACGGGGGGGGGGGGAATATCATGATGGGGGCCATGATACAGTCGGACCGAGGTATAAGATCCAGGTCGGTTCGGGGAGGGTGCCCTAATGTTCTTTGTGTTTGTTAGTTATTGTGCATCCTGGGGAGGGTACCCTAGGATGTTCTGTGTGTTCTGGCCGGCGAAGGGTCTCGTGTGCTTGGGGGATGCGCTGCTGGCCCCGCTCCGATTGTATCTCCCCATGGCCCCTCCTTTGAAGCCCCCTGGCCCCCCTGGGCCGCGCACGTGCCTCGGGCCATGATCTGCGACCCCCCGTTTGGGCGTCCCCCTCCTTGGGCGCCCCCGATGCATCCATGTTCCCGTGCTCCTCCGCAGGCAGCCATGACAGGGGTCCGTTCTGACAGCGCTGCAGCCGTGCGGCCGCCCGGCTTGGCTTCTCTGGCCGGCGCTGACTCGGTTCGGTCGCACATCACGGGAGCCTGGTATCGACTAGACATGAGAGTGACCTTCGGCCAGAGTGAACTCTGGTGCGGGCCCAAGGGGGCCCAAGAGTGACATTTGGCCAGGGTGACCGAACGCGATGCGCCAGTGGCGTCTTGTTCGCTTGTGTTTGGTCCCCCCCCCGCGCCCCCACGACATCCGCGCACCAGAGGTCACTCTTACCCAAGGTCACTCTTGCGTGTAGCCGATTCTACGTCCTCGGAATTTTGTCTTTGACGCGCACTGGCGTAAGCCAGCGTCTAATAGCAGGTGAGGAAGCGCAGATTTAGCGTCGACTAGCATTGATTAGCGTCGATTTTCTTTGATTCGGCGTCGGCGAGCGTCGATTAGCGTCGATCCGCAAGAGCTGGTGCGGGAGGCTCCCATGAGTTGCCGCAGATATCTGGGAACCACATGCACGGCCGCCACGACCGCTGCGCCAGGAATGAATGAGGGCCTTCAGGGCGCCAGGCTCGCAGCTGTCGGCTGCCTTGACGGGCTACGGCCAGGGATGCCAGCGTATCTTCGGACGGATGCCCGCTCCAGTCCTGCCTCACTTCCCCGCCTCCTTCCTTCCTGCTGTCATCTTTGACTGGAGTCTGGGGACGGGCGTGATATCTTGCCCGCCCCGAGGCGCTTCCTCATCGGCCTCCTCCCCCTGCCACTCCGCAGTTCAGACTTGTTGCGCCTGCAGCGTTGGATGGGGATGCGTGTTAACCCTATGCTCCAAGGTCCAAGGTTGCGCGTTAGTCATGCGTTCGCTGCGATCGCCTGTCCTCCCCTTCCCCCACGACGTTTCTACGTACCAGTGCGCCTGATGCCTGTGACATTCGGCAGCAACAGTATACGTAGCACCCCGCAGATGCGGATAAGAGTGAGAGGGCGGTGTGGACGTCAGCAGTTTGCGAGACTCTGGAGAAGCCCGCCACAGGCGTCAAAGTTCTACAAATTGTACGAGGAGCCCGCCGCAGGCGCCGATCTTGATCTTGTCGTTAAACCAATGTGGGTAGGTCGCGGGTGAGTCGCAGGTGGGTCGTCAATGGGTCGTGGGTGGGTCGCGGGTGGGTCGCGGGCGGGTCGCGGAGTGGGTCGCGGGTGGGTCGCGGGTGGGTCGCAGGTGGGTCGCGGGGTGGATCGCGGGGTGGGTCGCAGATGGGTCGCGGGGTCGCGGATGGGTCGCGGGTGGGTCGTGGGTGGGTCGCGGGTGGGTCAAGGGGTGGGTCGCGGGTGGGTCGCGGGTGGGTCGCGGATGGGTCGCGGGGTGGATCGCGGGGTGGGTCGCAGATGGGTCGCGGGGTCGCGGATGGGTCGCGGGTGGGTCGTGGGTGGGTCGCGGGTGGGTCAAGGGGTGGGTCGCGGGTGGGTCGCGGGTGGGACGACGACAACAAACAACAACAACAACACCAACAACAACAACAACAACAACATCAACATCAACAACCACAACCACAACCACAACCACAACCACAACAACAATCATGTTAATATTGTTTTTTTTTGGCACGCGTGTCTTGCATTACGTATACCCCAACCCTCGATACCCGCCCACTCAGTCTTCGATTGCACCCCATTTCGGGGGGAATATTTTCTTTGTCTGCCACTGAGTGAACTGCGAGGAAGTTTGGAGCAAGAGCGCCGTTCCTGAGCTCGGGACCTCTCTGGCCAGGGGCTGTCGGAATACTGATGGAGGAATATCGAACGGGAACCCTTGTCGCCGTGTCCGGGCCTCCACCAAGTTGACTGCATTACGAGAATGTCTCGAACGAGAGCGCCGTTCCTGAGTTCGGGGGCCTTCCTGGCCAGGGGTTCTCGGAGTAAATCGTGAGGAAGTCTCGAGCAGGAGCCCTTGTCGTCGTGGCTGGGCCTCCGCCAACTTGATTGAATTGCGAGGAGGTCTCGAGCGAGAGCGCCATTCCTGAGTTCGGGGGCCTCTCTGGCCAGGGTGACTCGTGGTAAATGATGAGGAAGTGTCGAGCGGGAGCCGTTGTCGTCCTGGCTGGGCCTCCAAGGGTCCACATTTTGGCTCAAGCCAACGCTCGAGCGGGAGCCTCGTCTTCACAGAAAATGTAGCCGGCGTCGAGGCGAGAGCGCGCGGAATCGCTTTCGGAGTTCAACCATAATGACTCATTTGAAATGAGTATTCAACAACAACACAACAACAACAACAACAACAACAACAACAACAATAGCAGCAACAACAACAACAACAACCACGCAACAAGCATAATCCCCACCACGGGTCCCCACTTCAGCCACGCACCCAGGGACAATGCTTGACCGGTCGGCCCCTCTCACTCCGATGTAATACTAATCCCCACCAGGATTGTGAGGTTCTTACCAATGATAGTGGCTGGAGGCCCTTTCTTGCGCTCTGAGTTGGCTTGATGCCCCTCCTTGCGCTTTTGGAGTTCTTGCTCCTCAAGCTTTTGCTTCCACACGGCAGCATCCTCCAGAGAGAGTCCGAACCGAGAGGCGACATGTTGGGCTGTCCATCGTTCCCCCCTTACCCCATCCCTACTAAGCTCAACGACGCCCCCCCCCGAGAGGCCACGAAGGCTTGAAGGACCACCACCTCCTCCGCGTCTCTGCCGCCTCCTCATCACCATCGTCCGCCCCTCCCGTTCCGCCTGCACAGGGAGGAGGCACGGTGCGGCATGGTGCGCGTCCCCCAGCGGGCGCGTTCGGCGTGTTGAGGAATCCGCACACACGCTGGCTCCACCAGATGGGGAGGCTGTCTACGGGCCACAGGGACTCGCTGTACAATCATCTGTGGGGGAGCCAGCTCGAGCCCGCGCCCAAAGATGTGTCCTTGCGTTTCTCTGTCGACCTCTTCTTCTCTCCTTCAGGTGGGCCGCCTAATCGGCTTGGAGCTGCCAGCGGGCTGCAACGTCTTTCCTTGACGATTCCCACCAGCTGGGAGGGCTGGATAGCCTCGAGTTGCCCATGGTGGTGTGAGGGCCTTTGAAAACCCCGTCAACGTCAGATTTCCGTGCGCACGCAGCTTCTCCTCTTCATCACCATCGTCGCCATTATAATCATCATTATCATCTGAATCATCATCAGTTTCATCACCATAACCAGCTCCATCATCGTCATCATCAGAATCATCACCACCATGATCATCGCCGTCATCGTCATCATCATCGTTGTCGGCGTCACCTTTATCTTCATCATCATAGTTATCGTAATCGTCATCATGACACTCACCATCTTTATCATCATCACCAGCAGCATTATCATCATCAGCATCATCAGCATCATCATCATCATCATCATCATCATCATCATCATCATCATCATCTTTTTTCCTTCGAGCGTCCCACCCTCCACGGGGGGAAGCGGCAATCGTCTCCGTCTGGAGAAACACACTCGTCGGAAATCAGGAGACCAGCCACCCCTGCCGACGTCGCCATCCCGCCGATAACCCCTCGGCGAGCGCGGCCGCGCAGCAGGCAATGGAGGGCAAGCTGCGAGCGCCGAGCGTGTGGCACTAGACAGGCAGGTGAAACAACAAGCGCTGAGCAACAACCCAGGAGGAAAGAGGAGAGACAGGAGAGGAGGAGGAGGGAGGCCCGCTCACGGCCCTCAAGGCAGCAGGCGCGGCTGAGAGCGCCCCCGCGCCCAGCCATCAGCATGCTGCTCGGCGTCGCACTGCTTGACGTCACAGCGCTGGTCTGTGCCAGAATGCACGCCATCCCACTCGGACAGATGGTAGCCGCAGGTCCCGGCGCTGGCGATGCTGCTGGCACAAGCGCTGGCTCCTATGCATAGCCACCTAACCGTCCCGTGCATGAGGCTATCGGCCATCGGAGCGAACCAGTCACGGGCCCACCAGGTCGCAGTCGGGAACATGCAGCATCTGCCACTCGCTCCGCAATTGGCGGCCTGGTCCGCTCGTGGTAACCGTGGTGCTGCGCATCCGCCGTGCTGCTCCTGGTGTCCCGCGTGCTCGTCGACGTGCAGCTTTTGGTATCCGTCGTGCTGCGCGTGGTACTCGTCGTGCAGCTCGTGGTATCCGACGTGCCGCTCCTGGCACCCGTCGTGCTGCGGATGGCGTCTGTCGTGCAGCTCGTGGTGCCCGTCGTGCTGTAGCTCGTATCGGTCGACGTGGGCGTGGTCTCCGTCGTGCTGCTCGTGGCACTCGTTGTGCATCTCACGGAATCCACTCTGTCAGTTGAGGTTGGCAGGACTGTAGCTGTCCCGGCCGCGTGACCGATGGATTGTGGGAGGGCGTCTGCCCTGGACTCGGCTGGAGTCGAAATTGTGCACGAGTTTTCTCGCCCCCCGAGGGTGGACGCCGGCGTGTCGCCCGATGTGGGGGATGCCAGCCTGTCGATGTATTCCAGTGCTGCTCGTGGTCTCTGCCGCGCTGCTCGTGGGCCCCGTCGTGTTGCACGTGGTACTCGTCGTGCAGCTCATGGAATCCGCGATTCTGCTGTAGCAGGTGCAAGTGTTGGCGCCACCGGCAGAGCTGGCGATGGCGCCAGTGTAGACCATGGCGCTGATGCCGGCTTAGGCGCAGGCGTTGATGCTAGCGTGTCGGTGCTGGCGTTGATGCCGGCGTAGGCACAGGCGTTGATACCGGCGACGGTGCTGGCATCGGCGCTGGCGGGAACGCCGGCGTTAGAGCTGGCGTTGGTGCAGGCGTACGCTGTAGGCGCTGGCGTTGTTGCCGGTGGAGGCGCCAGCGTTGGTACATCGGCGCTGGCATCGGTGCGGGTGTAGGCGCTGGCGTTGGAGCCAGGGCAGGCGCTGGCGTTAGTGCTTGCCTCAGTGCTGGCGTCGGTGCTGGTGTCGGCGCTGGCGTTGGTGCAGGCGTAGGCACTGGCGTTGCTGCTGCAGCCTTAGTGTTGGCGTCGGCGCTGTTGTAGGCGTCGACGGTTGTGCTGGTGTCGGTGTTGGCGGCGGTTCTTGCGTAGGCGCTGGCATTGGTCCGAGCGTTGGCGACGGCGTTGGTGCTGGTGGCAGGGTTGGCGTCGGCACTGGAGTAGGCGTTGGAGTTGGTGCTGGCGTAGGCGTAGGCGCAGGCGTTGATGCTGGCGTCGGAGCTGACGTCGGCGCTGGCATAGGCGCCAGCGTTGATACTGGCGTCGATGCGGGTGTCGGTACTGTTGCGGGCGCTGGCGTTGGTGCAGGCGTAGGCGCCGGCGTTGGTGCTGGTGGCGTCGGTGCTGGCGTCGGTGCTGGCGTAGGCGCTGGCGTGGGGGCCAGCTCGGACGCAGGCACTGATTTCGACGTCGGTGCTGGCGTCGGTGCCGGCGTAGGCGTGGTAACGGTGACGACGTCGATGATGATATCGGTGCCGGTGTAGGTGTTGGCGTTGATGCCAGCACAGGCGCTGGCTTTCGTTCTGGCGTCAATGCTGGCGCCGGCGCTGGTGTAGGCGCTGGCGTCGGTGCCGCCACAATAGCAGGCGTTCAGGCTGGCATCGGTGCTGGCGTCGGTGCTGATGTGGGCGTCTGCGTCGGCGTTGGCGTCGTGGGTGTGTGCGCTGGCGTCGGTGCCGGCGCGGACGCTGGCGGCTGTGCTGGCGTCGGGGCTGGCGCTGGCGTTAAGTTCGCGCTCGCGTCAGCGCAGGCGTCGGCGCTGGTGTAAGCGCAGGAGGTATTGCCAGCGCCATCGCAAGCGTGCATCCTGGCGTCTGCGCTGGCGTCGGTGCTGGTGAAGGCGTCGGCGTTGGTGCTGGCGTCGGTGATGCATCGGCGCCAGGGAAGGCGCAGCGCGGGCGATGTGATTTATTTTTTCCACGGGCTACAGCCACCTGGTGCGCGACTGCACCCGCAAGTCACCGCGCGCGCGGAGACCCGCGGCCCACTCGACGCCTTCCGAGGCGAGGGCGTCGGCGCCGCTGTCAAGTCTGCGGCGGACGGCCTGGAACTCGAGGAACCAGCCCTCGGCCGCCAGAGGCGTCAAACCCTCCTCGATCTCAGTCTGAAGCTCCAGCCGCCGGAACCGGCCAGTGCCGGCGCCGTGGCGGATCGCCGCCGTGTTGTCGCCGGCCACGCGGGCGCGGCGGAAGGGCATGCCCCCCGCAGCAGGCCGAGGCCGTGGCGACATCCGACGGCCTCCGCGGGTTGCGAGCCAGGTCCGGCTGGAAGTGCCACCACCACCTCCGCCACTCTGGTAGGGGCGCCTCCAGCGAGGTGGTGGCGCCAGAGGATGGCGCCCGGTCCGCTCGCCTCCTCGCCGTCGAACCGCCGCGAGCTGCCATCGAAGGTGACCTCCAGGGGCCATGTCGCATCCTCGTGGGCTGGCGACGGCGACCACGCCACAGTCACCACTTCGTCGGCCAGAAGGCGCTGACCAGCTTTCAGGCACGCCCGGGAGCAGCGGCAGTGAGGGCAGCGCTGGACCGTCCACTCCGCGGTGGCCAACGCCGGAGGGACACGACGAGGCCCGGGCCACCAGCCGGCGCATGCAGGAATTCAGCCAAGCTGCAGGGCTGCTGTCGGCCGTGAGGCATCCGAGGCGGTCGCCGGGCGCGGCAGGGCGCCGGGCCACCGCACGTCGAACCATGGCGCCGCCTCCACGTTCCTCGCGCGCCCGCGCGGCAGGGACCGCCGAAGAACGCATCCCGAGGGCGGGGGCCGCAATCGCCGCGCAGTCCGGCGGACAGGACGGATCGGACGGGCCCCAGGCGTCTGGGCAAAGGCCGGCTGGCTGCCGAGCTGGGTCCAGCTCCGCGTGAGTGGCCGCTGCGCCGTCGTCCGCGTCGGGGTCATCGAGGTCGTCGTCGTCGCTGTCGTCCGCGTTGCCGCGCGCGCTGGTGGCCGCGAAGGCCCGGACCAGCCGCCGCGCCGCGTCCGACTTCTGGAGAGTGGCCCTGCCCAGCAGCGACATGTAGTGGAAGACCAGCTGGAGAGTGAAGGCGGCCACTGGCTGGGCCAGGTCGCCGGGCGCGCGCAGCGCCTCGCCGAAGGCGGGAGCACAGGCGGCAGGTAACAACCGGCGCCACGCGAGCGCAACGGCTGGGCACCAATTCCAGAGGTGCTCTGCTTCAGCCTCCCCGGCGCCGCAGAGCGGGCATGAGCCGTATATCCGCTGGGGCCAGGCGTCCGCGGGAGCGAGGCGGGGCCGCGCGGCCTAGAGACGCGCCGCGTCGGCGCGAGTTCCTCCGGCAGCAGTTGCAGCGGGCGGGCGGCCCACGCGCGCCCGTCGGCCCACGGCCCGAAGCATGCCGCACAACACTCCAGCGCAGGCTGCTCGCTGTGAGCGGCCCTCCAAGCGTGGCAGGCCGGTCGGGCGCACACGCAGCGCAGCCGGGGCGGGCGCTCGTCCGAAGGCCGCCACCGAGCCGCACCGGGCAGGCCGTTTGCCAAGAAACGCAAGACGTGGAAGGCCGCCGTGTAGCTCCGGGCCACTCCGAGGAGCACCCACTCGTCACCGAGGCTGCGCGCCCACCGTCGCGTTGTGGAGCGCTCCAGAAGCCAGTCCCCGAGGCGCCGAGCGTGGGCGGCCGCCCAGGCCGCCGCGTAGAGCGCTCGGCCGAGGCGGGCGGCGCGAAGGCGCGGCTGTGTCCATGGCCGCGCGCCGGCGGCGCGGCGGAGCTGGAGCGCCGCGTCTGCGAGGCCGAGCGGGCACCAGCGCGGCCACGGGGCAAGCTTTGCCGGCTGGGGTTGCTGAGCCCACTGCTGGAGGCGGCCCCGCCACCTCCCAAGCTCCTCGCGCAGCGGGCGGGGGCCCCAAGCGTCGCGCCGCACCGAAGCCAGCGCCGCGGTGGCACGGGCGGCGGCCACCGAGCATCTCGGCGCCCCGCGGGTTCCGCAGTAGGGGCCGAATCCTGTGCATGGCCACCCGCGTGGGACACCAGCGCGCGCCTGCGATGCGGAGCGCCGCGGCCATTGCATGGGTCGCGGCGGACTCGTCGGCCGGCAAGGGGAGCCCGACGTGCGTGGGGTATTCCGCCAATGGTGCGACGTAGTAATTCCAAGCCGCCGCGCGGCGTCCGGAGGGGCCGACCGCCCCGCCGAGGGCGGTGCCCCGCTCGCGAAGTCGGCCAGAGGCGCGGCGCCAAGAACCCTGCCGCACCGCCGCAAGGGCGCCCGCGGATCACCCCCTCGGTGCGCCAGCCGCCAGCGCGCGCGCGCCGCGGCGAACGTGGCGCCCAACGGCGGAATTCCAAGCCGCTGGGCTTCCGCACTCGCGTGGAATTCTTCGCCTGAGGCAGCCATATGCCGCAACTGAACTCGCTGCGTCTGCGCCTGCATGCCTATCGCGCCCGCGTCGTCGTTGACCGTCTGCGGCCGCAAAGGATTCTGCGACAGGGCAGCCGCGTACCTTAAATAATTCGTAGAGCTTCCCTTAGCTAGTTGCTGGAAGGCATTAAGAACCCCCCCCCCCTTTTCCGGTGGATTATAACGCCCCCGCACCCTGGAGCGTTATGGCCGCGCCGGAAGATCTGGGCTAGATCCTTGACATTCGTCACGACACCCTCTCTTGGCGTTAGTGGGGCGGCCGCCGATGGTGGATTTTGTTTTCTGTGTGCGGCGGGTGCTAAGTGTATCGTTCGGCAAAAACTGCCCGCCTGGAATATTGAGAAAACCGGGTGCTAAGAATAACCCAGGGGGGGTTCTTAATGCCTTCCTTAATTCCGGCGCGCTGGGGAGCTAGTTGGCAAGAAAAATCTCGACTGACTTTTTGGTGACTTTTGCTCGGTTGAAAATTATGTTCTCGAAATTCAACAATTCGTTAGAGCTCTAGCGCGAGCACAAGGCCGCGCCCAAGTACGGCGAGGCCAGGCGCTCCGCAGAGCGGCCGAAGGGCGACGCCGCCATGCAGGTGGCCCAGCGGTCCAGGTGTGCGGTTGGCACCAATGCAATGTTGCTTTCACAGAACAACCGCACGCGCGGCTGAGGATTCGCCAACCACGGACCGCGTCTTGCCCGCATCGGCGCGCCAGAACGTCCCTGACCAGCTCTGGTATCAGGCCGGCGATGTGCAAGTCGCCACCGTTGTCCACCATGCTTACGCGGAGGTCCGCGCACGTCCGCCGCACCGCCAAAGGAGCCCCCGGCAGTGCCAGGAGCGCGCAGGAGTGCGCCTCGACACACAGGCCGGCCACCCAGGAGGCGTACACCAGGTAGAAGGACACCGGCAGGGCCTGGCGGGGCCCCACAACACGAGGCAGGCGCTGTCGTCCATGAAGGTGGGGTCTGCCACTCCGAGCGCGCGCTGCAGCACCGCGATGATGGGGTCGTAGCAAACTTGGAAGCGAGCCGCGGGCAGCCTCGCAAGGCGACTGCAGAACGCCCCTGGGGAACACAGCCGACCAACGCAACTTATAGATTTTCGCGTTCCTTGATCTTCGAGGCGCCAATATAGGATTTTGTGGACGAGGTTCAAGTATCATTAAGCGTAGCGTGATGTATCACTTCGCTGATGTGGCGCCACAGCCGTGCGCTGCAGCACGCGCTATTGTACAGCATCGCTGTCGCATGCCGTGGATTGGACAGGGTGCAAATCTTGGGGTCGTTTTGGCGCTGTCGTGTGCTGTCTTGGCTCTTCGGCCCGCTTGGCTGTGGCCTGGGTGGACTTGGCCCCCTCTCGAAGGTCAGACGAGATGTTCGGTCGCTATTTGGGCCTTCTTGTTTATCGGCGACGCATGGCCAAACAGGATTGTATTGGGGCCCTCCTGAGCCGTTTGGGGGGGGGCCTCTTGGGGTTGTTATCGGCCGCCTTGCAACCGTTTGGGGCCCTCGCTGGGCTCCTCGGGCCTCCCTCCCACGCCCCCAGGCGCATTGGTTTGAGCCATCCTGAGTCGACGGGCTGAGGAATTCCACATAAAAACACAGAGTTGCCGCAACATTCTTATTGATCGTGGCCTTCCTGGACGCCCCCCCCGGTCTTCTCCCCAGTGTTTCGGTAGCTTCTCGGGCCTCCCTCTGGCGATTCCTGGGGTCTTTTTGGGGCCAGTCGGGGTGCCTCTTGAGGCAGTTGTGGGCCCTCTTGGCGGCTCTGGTAGTTTTCCTTGGCAATATTGGGCAGTGTGGGTATAAGGTTCCATCATCATCGTCGTCGTCACCATCATAGAGTTGGGTTTGGGCCCTCTTGGAGCCCTTTGGGGGCCCTTTTGGAGCCCTCTTGGAACCCTCTTGGGGCCCCCATTCGAGCCCTCTGGGGGCTCCCAGAAAGTTTCCGAGGGACATCCGGGGGGGTGGAGGAGGAGGTGGAGGGGGGGTGGAGGGGGGGGGAGGGGGAGGTGGAGGGGGTGGTGGAGGGGGGTGGTGGAGGGGTGGGTGGAAGGGAGTGTTTGGGGTGGGTGGGGGGGTTGGGACGAACCCCAGGGGAGGGGCGAAAAGGGCGGGGGGGAGAAGGGGGGAGGGAGCAGGGGGCCACAGGGCCAAATGGAGCAGGGGAGCGGCGGGCCACGACGAGGCAGGGCAGGAAAATCCTGCCCCCCTGGTAGTTGCGCATGGGGGGAGAGCGTGCCCCTTTGCTTCCTTCCATTCTTCCTTCCGGCATTGCCTCCCTCCCTCTCTCCTCCTCGCCCCCCCCTTCTGTCGATGGTCCGCCCTGCCCCTCCTACTCCTGCCCCCCTCCTTCCACGACCCTTCGACACGCCCGACCTGTGTACCTAGGCGGTGTTCCCTGCGGCAGTCCTGGTGGGCCAACGTACTGCGTCCGGGTAACCAGGTACAGCCTGTACCTGTAGAAGCAATTTGGCTTTTACAGGTACTGGCTGTACCTGTAGAAGCAGTTTGGGGTAAACAGGTAGAGGCTGTACCTGTAGAAGCCGTTGTCCCTTCAGGTACTCCCTCGGGGTAAACAGGTACAGGCTGCACCTGTTTACCCCGCTCGTTTGGTGTGTGTTTTTGTCGAAGGGAAAGGGGGTAAACAGGTGCAGGTCGTACCTGTAGAAGCAGTTTGGTTTCTAAAGGTACTGGCTGTACCTGTAGAAGCAATTCTTTACGCTTCGCGTATCCCCACCAGCCCATCTCAAAACAGCAACTCTTGCGAAGCATGCCGACAGTCGTGTTTTTCAGGCGTGTTTCCGCCTGCCCCCGCATATCTCCCCTGTTCCTCCTTCCTCCCGCCTCCTTGTACATCCTCCTTGTGGTGGGAGCGGGAGAAGGACGAGGCGGAGGAGGAGGGAGAGAAAGCGCTCCTCGTGGTTTGAGTCGTTTGGGGTTTCTTGTCCTGGTGTGAGTCGTTCGGGCCCTTCTTCCTGGTGTGAATCGTTCGGGCTCTTCGTGATGTGAGTCGTTCGGGCTCTTCGTCCTGGTGTGAGTCGTTCGGGTCTTCGGGCCCCTCGTGGTGTGAGTCGTTCGGGCCCCTCCTCCTGGTGTGACTCGTTCGGGCTCCTCGTGGTGTGAGTCGTTCGGGGCCCTCGTCGTGGTGTGAGTCGTTTTGGGAGCCTCTTGGAGGCCTTTTGGGGCGTCTTCGGGGCCTCTTGGCGGCCCCAGGGGCTTCTAGGAGCGTCTTGGGTGCCTTGGGGGAGCCTCTTCGGGCCTCTTGGGAGCCTCTTGGAGGCCGTTTGGGGCGTCTTGGGTGCCTCTTGGCGGCTCCAGGGGCTTCCAGGAGCGTCTTGGGTGCCTCGGGGGAGCCTCTTGGGGCCTCTTGGGCGCCTCTTGGGGGCATCTTGGGGGCCTCTTGGAGGCCTCTTGGGGCCTCTTGGGACTCTTTGGGAGGGGTCTGGGAGGAATCTTGGGGCCATCTGTCGGGCGATCGATCACAGATGGGGCGAGCACTTTTCTCCCCCCCCCCGTCGGGGCCAGAATCCTCGTGAGGGGTGTCGAATAGTAGTAGTCGTAGTAGTAGTACTGGTAGTAGTAGTGGCCGTGCCACCATGCGTAGAAGTAGTAATTGTAGAGGTAGATGTGGTAGTAGTGTGAGTCGTTCGGGGCCCGCGTCGTGGTGTGAGTCGTTCGGGCTCCTCGTGGTGTGAGTCGTTCGGGCGCCTCGTCCTGGTGTGAGTCGTTCGGGCCCCTCCTTGTGGTGTGAGTCGTTTTGGCTTCTACAGGTACTGGCTGTACCTGTAGAAGCAATTTGGGGTAAACAGGTTCTTGCTCTACCTGTAGATTTGGCTTGCCTCCCCCCCCGTGTAGTGGTCGACCTGTAGAGGTTGACGGGTGTACCTGGCCCCCCTGGTGGTCCATGTGGGTATGGCGAGCACGGGTTGGGGGGGCAGTCCAGGAGCCTCTGTGGGGTACCGAGCTGACCTTTGGCGCCCCCGTGCCCTGCTGCGCACGATTTGGGGGCGGGGGGGGGCGAGCACCAAAATACGGGGATTGCTGAGTCCTCCTTCGGGCCTCTGGGGGCCGCCCGAAGTGCGCCTCGACTGGATCTCCTTTGCAGGCAATTCAAGTCGATCGAAACACCGACGAGGAGGGTGGGAGGAGGAGGAGGAGGAGGAGGAGGGAGGGGGGGGGAGGAGTAGGAGGAGGAGAGAGGAGGGAGGAGGAGGCGGAGGAAGAAAATGGAGGTCCCCTGGAAATTACTAGAGGAGATTTAGTAAGAGAGGGAATGAGTTAGGAGGGAGGGGCAGGAGAAATGCGAAGAGGAGGACGGGGGAGGGGAGAGCGTAGATCTCCCGTCAGCTTCGTCTCGGGCATTCTCGGAAGCACTAGTAGAAGGAAATCTTCGAGGGGGGGCAAGATGTGCTCGCGGGCGTCTCAGAATTCTGATATTTTGAGGGGGGGAAGCGCACGGAAGAGGCGCAAAGCGTATGCAATGCTACCGGTTCTCACATGATGACAACAACGATGAACTTGGGCAACAAAATCTCTAGTGCCTGGGGCTTCCATTGGAGAGGTGGCGGGTTCCCCCCACGATTGCGGTACGTGTTTCCGGGCCATGGCTCATTGGTGAGCCCCCCCATCGATAACCTCGCCCTCCGAAGAAAGGCCGTTGTACGCAATGCTCCGAGCTCCGTCGGGGTACTCCTGTGATCGATGGGTCAGGCGCCTGGCCGGGCGCTCGGGCCTGGGTCGCAGTCGTGGCCGATACGTGCTCGCCGCCCCTATCCCCTTCTTCCCCAGCCGCCTCGCCCCCCTTACATTCCCTTACATCCTCTCCCACTTCCTCCTCCACTTCGTTTTCTTTTTCTCCCTTCCACACCTTCCGTTGCCATTGTGGGTCAGCCCTTTACGGTTCGTACCCTCACCATCGTTATCACCGTCCTCATCATCCTTATCATGCTCATCTTCTTCTCCATCATCATCAGCATCATCATCATCATCATCATCACCGTCATCATCCTCACCACCATCAGCATCAGCATCATCAACATCATCATCATCACCATTGTGCTCATCATTATCATCAGCATCGTCGTCATCATCACCATCAATATGTCCATCATCATCGTCGTCATCATTATCAGCATCATCGCCAGCATCATCATCATCGCCGACATCATCATTGCCACCGTCATGTTCAATACTATCAGCTACATCGCCGTTACCATCGTCGTCGTGGACATCCTCCACCCAGTCATCATGAATCTCATCATCATCGTTGTGCCTGTTGCCGCCGCCGTCGATACCGTGGTCATGGGTATCTCGTGTCCAGCAGGACGGACGTTTCTGCGCGGTTGAGTTCGGTCACACGCGCCCTTTCTCTCGCTCAGAACATGGTTGAATCAGGTTTGTCAACCAGGTGCGAGCGGGTGGCTGGGCGGTTCGCACGAGCATGGGAGCGGCCACGCACGGATGTTGCTCGGTGGGTGAATTTTAGCCCGTCGATGCCACCCCATCGGTTACACAGAGTTAGTGTATTGGGCCCAGTGGCAGATATCGGAAGATATCAGTTGCCCCTCCTCGATCACCATCACAATGTCCTTGTTCACTCTCCTGACCTCTCTTTCTCCCCCCCCCTTCCCTCCCCCCTCCCCTCCCCCCCCCCTCCTCTCTCGATCATGCACCCTTCCTTCGGCCTCCACTCGTCGAGTCCTCCCTTCCCCCCTCCATCCACTGGAATCCTTCAGGCTTCGAGTTGTATACTTGTCTCCCTATTCTGGTCCCACAAATTCCACCCGCCGCCCGTCGCCCCATCCTTCGCCCCTGGTGTGTCCCCCGCCATGCCCACCGCCTCTTTCGGCGGCCAGGTTTGCGTCGGGGGGCCTTTTCGAGTTGCTAGGAGGAGGAGGAGGAGGAGGAGGAGGAGGAGGAGGAGGAGGAGGAGGAGGAGGAGGAGGAGGAGGGGGAGGAGCTTGGTGCCCCTCAGTCTTCCAGTCCGCGCCAGCGGACCATCTGGTCTCATTGGGTATCCTCCCTGCCGCATTCGCGGCCTGCGTGCTGTCACCTCGCAGCGCACACGCAGGCGTTTTCTTCTCCCGCGCACGAGCGGGCCCGCCGTGCCCCGCGCACGCACTTCGCTTTGCGGCCCACCGCTCTGGCACGAGCCCGGCTGTGGGATTGCCTGCGGTCGCGCCCTCGCGATTGCCGCTGCCTTCTGCTGCGCCCCCGCGCGCACCACCTCCTGCAGGGCCCGCCGCCCCTGCGACGTGCCGGCTATCTCTGTCTCTCTCTCCCGTGCCGGCTGGAGAGTTGGCAGCACTGGTGGGAGAGAGAGCTCCCCGCTCTCGTCAGCGCCGGCTCGCTCGGCCCGGGCAACTGCTGCTCTGCCTCCCTCGCGCCAGCACGCTGCACCCCCATACCCACTTTGCCGTGCCGTCGCGCGCCATGTCGGAGTTTGCCATGTCGCACGCTGGCTTGACGGGAATCTCGCCGCCCCGCCCTCCCCCTGAAGCCGCTAGCTGCCGCTTCAGCGCACGCAACTTGGGGCACACACCTCTTGCAGTCGCCTCGCTGCTACACGGAGCCCCCGCTCGCGCCACGGGGCGGGACCACCTTTGCTTGTCCTCCTCGTGTTCCGTTCTTCCTCTCTCTCTCCCTCTCTCTCCCGCTATATGTCCCCCCCCGCTGTGTCGCGAAGCATGCCAACCAAATAGGCTTCGGGAAAGGCTTCTGAAATTATTCAGAAGACTGGAGGACTTCGGAACCTTCTGAGAAAGCCCTGGCCCCCTCTGCTTGTCCCGAGATCCGAACTTACGAGCAAATAGCAGAATTGTGAAACGTCACGACAAGAGCCCTACACACTAGACCCCACTTTCTGCAACATTTTTCGAGCCGCATCGGTTGGTGAGGGTACCACTGTTGTGAAACACATGAAGCGTATTTTTGCTTGGATTGGCAAATTTCTTCGCGCGGCCTTCCCGCCACTCAGCTGTTTTGTCAAGCAGTGCTGGGCCGAAAAGGCGTGCAATCGCGTCCCGACTTGCGCGAAACGCAGATTTCCTTTCGGGCCCCCTTTCCCCATCCATACGAGGAACCCTTGCCAGAGCCTCTTGCAGCGCCCGGATCTAAGGCTCCCTCGTTGGGCGCAGGGGCAATAATAGGGGGAATAGACTCTGGGAGGAATGCATCGACTGAGAAGGAGCCGACCACACCACCCTTTCCAGAAACGTTCGGATTCGCCATCAGGGGCTTATCGCCGCTCTATCGGCGATGTATCGCCGATTATGTGTCGATGCATCCCGCCCTGGCCCAAGGTGGCCCCAGATTTTCGCTCCATTTCTGGCCCCCTGGGGCCCTCTGGACTCCTCGTGAGGGGTGCTCTTGGGGCCGTGAGGGCTTCCTGGAAAATCCTGGGGGCAAGTTGGGCCAGGGGTGCTCCTAGCAGCACCCCTCCCACGACCAACTCCTGGGGTGCGTTCTGACAGCATCTTGAGGCGAATCCAGCAGTGGCGACGGGGGCTTTCCAGGAGGCCGGACAAGGTAAAAACGAGGGAAGTGTAGGGGTATGGATACCTTCCCCTGAGATCTTGGCACTGCAATTTTTTCGAGCCGGGCGTTTTTGCCATTTCTCGCGCCCAAGAACCATCGTAGATCGATCCGGGCGTGATTTCGTACGATGTTGCAGCGTTTTCGCCACGTCGGATCTCAGAGTCTCCCCCTCTGATCACCAGGGCCCCTCCCCCAGCTCGCCGCCTGCACCGAACGCCCCGGCCCTCCCCCAGCAGGCCCCGCCGTTAGACCGCCCTCCCCCCCCTATTCCTCCTCCTCCTCTTCCTCCCCTCTCCTCCTCCCTCCCTCTTCCTCCCCCTCCTCCTCCCTCCCTCCTCCTCCTCCTCCTCCTCCTCCTCCCTCCTCCCTCCTCCTCCTCCTCCTCCTCTCCTCCTCCTCCTCCTCCTCCTCCCTCCTCCTCCCTCCTCCTCCTCCTCCCTCCTCCTCCTCCTCCTCCTCCTCCTCCTCCTCCTCCATCCCCTCGTCCTCTCGCCGCTCCGCGCCTCCCGGGGCAGGCGCAGCCCTCCGGGGAGGTCCACGCGCAGCGACGGTCGGCGGCGGCTTCGACGCTGTCCATGTCGAGCAACGTGAAGCTGCCAGACTTCATCAAGGCGGGCCGCTCTGGGGCTACACCTGACCCGTGTTCCCTGAGAATCTGGCGACTCAATTTTTTCGAGCCGGGCGTTTTCGCTCCATTTCGGGACCGGGGACCTTCACAGATCTATCCGGCTCGAAAAATTACGCAGAAAGACGGGGTCCCGGGGGTTGGTCGTGATTTTTTGCGATGTTGCAATTTTTTTGCAACGTCGGATCTCAGGGTCAGTGCAAGCCCGGGTCGGTCAGGCTTTGCAGGGTCCTTCAGAGTCCTGCAGGATCCTGCGCAGTCAGGGCGCCCGATCTGGGATGGCAGCATTCTGCAGAGCCAGGGGTGCACTGGCCCGGGCTTGCGCGCAGGATCCTGCAGGATTCTGCAGGATCCTGCGACGCCCGAGTGACCCAGGTTTGCCTTGACCCGGGTCAGTAGATCCCCGACCGCTGCCTCGCCCGGTAGCAAACAGTGGGAGCCTGGCATGCCCTCGGAATTCTGTCTTTCGCGCGTGCCATCCTCCGGTGTAGTCGATCACACAGCGCGGAGTTAGGGTCGATTCATTAGCGTCGGCTGCCGTCGAGTTGCGTCGGTTCGCAAGAGCCAGCAAGGTGGCACGGGAGGCCCCCACGCGCTGCCGCAGAGGCCTCGGCGAGCTTGCGTGCTCGGGGCGCTGAGAGCCTGTGTTGCAGTGGAGGCGAGGGCGGGGTGCGACAGCGAGGGGATACACAGTCGGGGCGTTGACCTAAGGAGCCCTGAATAAGGAACGAGGCTCTATGTTTCCATGAGTGAATTTTCGATCCCCCATGGAAAACCAGAATACGACCTAAGGCGAACTGTAACACAAGCGGGGAAGGTGCGGGGGAGGGCGAGGAGTTGCGAGGACGAGGAGGGACGGGCGGGGGATCGCGACGGAGGGGGAGGGAGGGTGATGGTGGAGGGTCGAGGGGGGCGTGAGGCTGAGGAGTGCGGTGGTGAAGAGACGAAAGGGTGGAGGAGAAAGAGCTTCTCTCGTATCCTGAGTATGCCCTGGCTGTTTGTTCTCGTTTTAATAATTCAGCGTCTTGGAAATCAGTGTTCAGGATCTTTCAGGCCCCGGCAACAACATGCTAATAACGCTAACACTCACGCGTACAAGCGATTCGTTTGTTCTCCGTGTTTTGCTATGTACTTGCATTGGTTTCTGATCAGTTGATTGCGTTGAGTAGCATTGCCGTCTAAGACGTCTTCAGTTTCTTCTCCTTGGGTCTAGTCCTTCCTGTTGTAATTTCGTGTTTGTTTTCTTTTTGCTCCTTTCCTGCCGTTGCTGCTGGCTGGTCGCGGGGCCTCCCGGTTCGCGCCCGTTGTAGACTGGTGTTCGGGAATGTCTGTTTGCCTTTTAGCCCTGCGCGCGGAGCGGGAGGAACGGGAGGCAGCAGGAGCAGGAGAGCGGCAGCGAAGGCCGAAAACACGCAAAAAACGTACAGTGTTAGCGTTTATGGCCCAGATGCAAAGTGGCAAAAGAAAACGCCAAGGCTGTTAGGGGAACAGGTACCGAACACCGCTGCTCGTTCTTCCCTGAAGTCCTCGTCACCACGGCTGGACTCTCCTCGAGACCGTGGTCAGTGTGCACCCTGGGCGAGGCCCAGGAAGTAGCTGTATGGGTACTTTTGGGTTCCCACGGAGGGGCGGTCCCGGTTGATGTCGAAGAGTCGGCGGCGAACGCTCAGTCCGTCTTCCATCCCCCCCTGGGTCTGGGTCAGACGAGCGAGCAACCAGGGTCTGGGCAACCTGGGTCTGGGCCTTGCCTGGCGCCTCGCCCCAGTCACCCCGGCGCCCGCGGTTCGCCCAGGGTGTTCGCTGGCAGCAGCCCGGGGTCCGCACATGGGCCGTGACCTTCCGCCGCCTTCTGGTTGCCCGTCCTTCTCCTCCTCCTCCTCCTCCTCCTCCTCCTCCTCCTCCTCCTCCTTTTCTTCCTCTTCCTCCTCAAAGTCCCCAGACAGTGCTTGCACTTAGAGTCTCCCCTCTGCCTATACCCCAGAGTTGGAGTGGGCTTTCCCGGGCTTCCGCCACGCTGCGGGCCTCGTGGGCGCCTCGTGGGCACCTCGTGGGCACCCCCTGTGCGCTGGGTGGCTGTTCCGGTGTTGCGCCCACGTTGCCGCCTCGCGGGCGCCTCGTGGGCGCCTTGTGCGCTGGGTGGACGTCCCGAGGTTGCGCCACGTTGCCGGCCGTGCCGCCCCGTGGTCACGTCGTGGGCTTGCACAACATAGCTTCCACCACGTACCTTTTCCACACCGCTTGATGCCACATAGCTTACACCGCACATCCGACACAACATGGCTTACATCACACAGCTTGCACCCCATGGCTGAGATGTCCACTTCGGACTGCATAGATAACAACACCTGGCTTGCACCGTCTAGTTTTTGCCGCCATAACTCACATCACACAGCTTGCACGACATGCTGCCACCACACAACTTACATCGCACAACCTGCACCTCCACAGCGCAATAACGCATCGTTTGGGATCCACGCTGGCTGTTATGTTCTATTCTGTAAGGCGTTCCAAAAAGGCCTTGCCTTCGAGGATCGACGGTGTTGTCATCTTTTCCTCGGCGGAAGGCGGCGGAAGGTCGGTTGAAGTAAAACGATGCCGCCTCCGCCGGCGGAAGCCAGCGGAAATCAGCCCCGGCGGCTCAACGACCCGTTTGCTTCCTCAGGGGAGCGGGGGGTCGCAAGTCACCCCCTAGCTTTGACCAGCGCCCGCACCCAGCCAGACTTGCCATGTGCGATGCCTGTGGCGCGGCTGGGTGCTGCTAGCAGCTTCTACGTCAGCGAGGTGAGCGTGCAGAGGCGGCCCGACCTCTTCGAACAGCGAGATGGTGTTCTATGGAGACCCGTTCTTGTTGGAAACATGGGCTTATGGATGGCTACATGGGCCCGACGTTGGGTGGTGAGACTCATGGAGGGAGTTCATTTCCATGGCCGCCTATGCTGCCAGTTACGGAGCAAACGCAGTCCCAGTTCTACCTGAAGTTTTCCCGAGCATACCTCCTGCTCGTGAGATGTTGTCAACACAAACCACTTATTTGTTCTTCGTTGGGTTGCTGCTGCTCCACTACATCGTCCACGTCTTGGCCTGGTGCCTGGCTCTTACGGTGACGCATTGCATTCGTCGGTCCCTGGTTGTTTCTCTACTGTTTCGTCATGGCGCGTCGGTGCTCAGCTGCTCTTCTTGGGATAGACGCTTGCTGAGCACTTCGGCTGCGATTGATTTCGCAGACCGGCGCGTTGCCCATGCTACTCGGACGGTCCACAGTCTCGGCGGCGCGAAATGGTATGAGCGTTTCGCACTAGCGTTCGGCGGTCGCCGTCGGCAGTGATACAAAGCTGCCGGCCACTTCCCCCCTGTCTTGGTCGCTTCTTCTCTCGGCGTCTGATGGCGCACTGGTTCAGAGTGCTTTAGATCGGATTCTTTCGGGGAAACTTCGCCGCCCGTCTTTATCTTGACGGTCGTAGTTCGGGTGAATTTCATGGGACGAGGCCCGCAGCGTAGTTAGAGGGCTACGTGGCGGCTGTTCTCGTCGTGCCACCCCCTCAGAGGAGGGGGTGCCCGAGTGCAGGATCATGGCGTCGTTTTCGTTCAACGACTCGTCACCCTTGCCTCGGCGTCCCCGTCGGGCTCCAGCATAATTCGAAGGGCATTGGCTGTCTGCGCCGTGGTATTCGGTGCTCGAGTATTATGAGAATGTGATGCGCCGCGAATGCGGTTGTTTTCACCGAGCCCAATCGCAAGACGCCCGGCCGAATCTTAAAAAGGTGCGGCGTCACAAAGGAAGGAAGCTCGGCGGCGGGTGGCGGAAATAAAGAATGCGCCCCCAAGAGATGAAAGCGCGTTTGGGTTCAGGGTTTCCGAAAACCGCCATGCGTCTACTCAAGATGTGTCGTTTCGTGTCAGCTTCGGCTTCGTGCAGCGGGCGCGCCACATAGGAGATTTGCCTGCCAGCAGGTGCCCCGCGGACGTTTCGCATCTCCCCGAAGGCCACGAGGGGTGGCGCACTTCAAGGAGCTCAAAGCTCGACGACGCGCATGGCCCCAGGTTTATGAGGCACCCCGCAGTGGAGGGCAAGTGTGAGCGGGCGGGCGCGGGGTGGGTCGCGGATGGGTCGCGCGGGCGGGTCGCGGTGCGGGTCGCGGGTGGGTCGCGGGCGGGTTGCGGATGGGTCGCGGATGGGTCGCGGGTGGGTAGCAGGAACCAACGCACAACACGCAACAAACAACGAACAACAAGAACAGTTCCAATTCCACCACCAACAGCGACAACAACAATCCGCACCGCGGAAACCCACTTCAGCCACATACCCAGGGACAATGAATGACCGTTCGGCCCCCTCTTTCTGATCATACTAAGATGTCCCGTCACACGTTTCTTTTGTGTTCGGTGTAAGCGGGATGTTTCGTGTCGTTCCAGCTTCGACCTAATACCTTGGTGCCTGCGGTGGGTTCCGCCACAACGCCATCGCAGCGTTCCGTACGTCGGCTTTTTAAGGGTGTTCCCCGGACGGCCATGCGCCATAGCGCGTGCCAGGTCTCGCCCTATGTGCTCCACGCGCTCGTTGCCGCCTCGCGATGGCGCGAGTGATCGAGCGAGGCGTGATCTGTGACACCCCTTCTCCCAGATCTCGGGGGGTCGTCGCACGCAACAACTCGCAGTTCTAGAGAGAGAATGTTGCGTGATTGTTGTTGCTGTCCTCCCTTTGCCCAGGGGTCCGTCACGGGCGACGTCGGAAGGCTGGGGCCTCCCAGGGAACTCGCGGCAGGGTTTCTTGGGAGCGTTTTTGGGTCTGTTGGGAGGCTACTGGTTGATTTCGGCTTGGAGGCTGTAGTTGACGTTTGGAACTGGGGAGGTCTGTGTGGACAGTTTGTCGCTGTCCTGGGGCCGTCGGGCGTCTTGTGGCATCATCGGGCTGGTCTCGAAGCCCCTCACAGGCGGTATGTACGATGCTTTGGCACGCTCCGGATGTTGTTGTGGGGCCATATTTGGGCCA